ATTCTGCCTAAATTGGGGAGGCTGAGAGACACAATGCCTCCAGAACAGACAATACAGTAGTTTCTGTCCTTGTCTTGAGGAAAAGCTGAGCTGTGGAACTCCTTGCCACAAGGAAAACACTGTGGCAAAGGACTTAGCGATTTCCAGAGATGGATTAGGTGTTAGCAGAGAGCGATGTCAGTCACTGCCAACTGACTATGTCAAACCATTTTGTGACAAGCGGGCCTTGGTAATTTCAAGGAAGAGGAAGTTACCAATCTGTAGGTGGAATTTGGGGTTGGTTTCGGGGCAGGGGGAGAGAGAAGCCATCTTGTCCTTTGCCTCAGGCCAGCAAAATGCCCTAGGCCAAACATGTTTAAAAGAATCTGCTATGTCTCCAGGGATTCCAGGACACTGTTTAAAAACCACTGTGAAATACACTGTGAAACAGTGTGACGCAGCAGCTAAAAAAGCCAATGCAATTCTGGGCTGCATCAATAGGAGTATAGCATCTAGATCAAGGGAAGTAATAGTGCCACTGTATTCTGCTCTGGTCAGACCTCACCTGGAGTACTGTGTCCAGTTCTGGGCACCACAGTTCAAGAAGGACACTGACAAACTGGAACGTGTCCAGGGGAGGGCAACCAAAATGGTCAAAGGCCTGGAAACGATGCCTTATGAGGAACGGCTAAGGGAGCTGGGCATGTTTAGCCTGGAGAAGAGGAGGTTAAGGGGTGATATGATAGCCATGTTCAAATATATAAAAGGATGTCACATAGAGGAGGGAGAAAGGTTGTTTTCTGCTGCTCCAGAGAAGCGGACACGGAGCAATGGATCCAAACTACAAGAAAGAAGATTCCACCTAAACATTAGGAAGAACTTCCTGACAGTAAGAGCTGTTTGACAGTGGAATTTGCTGCCAAGGAGTGTGGTGGAGTCTCCTACTTTGGAGGTCTTTAAGCAGAGGCTTGACAAACATATGTCAGGAGTGCTCTGATGGTGTTTCCTGCTTGGCAGGGGGTTGGACTCGATGGCCCTTGTGGTCTCTTCCAATTCTATGATTCTATGATTCTATTCTATGATTCTAAATGTTAGGCCTGCAAGCATCAAACCAACAGCCATTGGCACAGGGCTGCAAGGGCCTCTGGTGGCCATGAGTGGAGTTAACACAGGACTTGACTCCCTCCAAGGCCTCAAGCAAAAAAATGTATTTATTTCCCGCTGCTGCTGCTGGATCCTTTCAACTGGCGTTACATGGAATCGAATCTGGGACGACTGGCTTACTATTTCTGCCAGTTGCCTCAGCTGCTCTCGGAGAAAGGCCCGTCTAGTTCCAGCATCCTGTTCTCAAATAAATACTGTACATACATGGCCACGTGCCATGGATTCTTGAGCTGTGATTCCTGCATTGCAGGGGGTTGGGCTAGATGACCTTTGGGAACCTTTCCATCTCTAGAAGTCTACGATTCTGTGCTTAGAGTCTTCAAGAGCTGCTCTTTAGGCACGCACCGCAGGGCTTGGTTTGCAAGGCAGCTGAGCAGGCATGTCGCCGCCTGCTGTCGACATGATCAATCTGTTCTTCCTTGCTCCAGATTAACACATAAACACACACAGAGAGAGAATCTTTAAAGAATATTTAGAAAATTACAGTATAAAAGGAAACATCCTGGCAGAATTAGACTGATCCCTGGATTGTATGAATATAAGTTTGTAGGGAGGTAAAAAGAAACTATATAAGAAATATGTAACTGTGCAGTATAAAGTAATGGATAGACAAAGTATAGTGAGATTAATTGAAAGTCATTTTTAATTCCCCCCATAAGTTTTATAATTGCTTTCAATTCCAGGAGTATATATGAAGATAGTAATATTAATCTTGTTGTATCTTATAGTGTGGTGGTTTGTTTGATTTTTCTGTTATTTGTTTGTTTGATTCTATGTTTGTTTAATTGTTTGTCCGTCTGTTTTTTCATAAATGTATTTATTTTAAATTAATAAATACATTTTTAAAAAACCCACACACACATTCTGAAGGACGCACACATCATGAAGGAAAGTGTGTGCGTGCAGGAGAGGAAGCAATTGAGAGGGACTTGAGTGCAAACAGGAAAAAAAGACACGGCAATGCAGAAGTCAGCCTCCTCACATCCGTCCTCAAAAATTTCCTATAAGCCCCACCTAAGGTAATTTCACTCAGCAGGGAACAATTGGAAGGCCAAAGGTCTAAGGCTGAGTCTAAGCAGAAGGAGATTTTATTTACAGTGGTACCTTGGTTTATGAACTTAATCCATTCCAGAAGTCCTTTCTTAAACCAAAGCATTCTTAAACCAAGGTGTGCTTTCCCATAGCAGCAGGGGACTCAATTTACAAATGGAACACACTCAACAAGAAGCAAAACATGTTCTTATTCCAAAGCAAAGTTCACAAACCAAAACCTACTTCCGGGTTTGCAACGTTCTTAATCTAAGTTGCTCATAAACTAAGCTGCTCTTAAACCAAGGTACCACTGCATTTTATTGTGTTTATGTTGCAGCAAGAAAGGAATGATTACTGGCCACACCTGTCTGAATGCAACTGGGAAAACATGTGCCTGTGTAAGTAAGTAAAAGAGAGGCAAAATCTCTGGCCTGGGAACGGTTGGGATTCATGGATCTGTCAATTCCAGTTTTCTCGATTTCTCATTTTTCCAATCGTAAATTCAGTTCTCCACTTAGTTGTAACACTTTGCAATTAAAAGGGGGGGAATCATCGTGAATATTTGTCACCATTCTAGTGTGAATTGCTAACGAACAGTTTTGTATGCGCTTTCATACATATGTATGTGTGATCATTGATGTTTCTAAGTGACATACATAAAAACAAGCCAGCTGGAACAGAGAAAGTCTCAGTAACGCGAAGAGTGTCCCTGTCTAATTTCAGGTGGGAAGGAGTTCCATAGGCTTGGGCTCCACTCTATGTACATTTTTGCAAAGCAATTTCCCCCTATAATGCATTTTTGCATGCTATTTTCACCAATATATGCATTTTGATGCACACTTCACCGTAATATGCACATTTTTGCAAAGCATTTCCTCTTTAACGTACAGTGGTACCTCGGGTTAAAAACTTAATTCGTTCTGGAGGTCCGTTCTTAACCTGAAACTGTTCTTAACCTGAAGCACCACTTTAGCTAATGGGGCCTCCTGCTGCCGCTGCGCCGCTGCTGCACGATTTCTGTTCTCATCCTGAAGCAAAGTTCTTAACCCGAGGTAATATATCTGGGTTAGCAGAGTCTGTAACCTGAAGCGTATGTAACCCGAGGTACCACTGAAATGTGTTTTTGTACACATTATCTCCACTGGAGAACCGCATTGTAGCATACAGAGATGTGCAACTTGAAAACGAGTAAAAAAAATACTTTGGGGGAAGAAGAGAGATGTGTGACTTTTGAAGGATGGCTGATTCGGTTAGCGTATGGTTTTAGAAAGCGCTGCTTTCTCCCTGATCCTTACCTTAAAGTTAGAAACTGCCCCCTTCTGGTCAGCGAGGGCCTTCTAGATAGGCCTTTGGGGCAGATCTCCCCAAACATAAGGAGAAATAAGCAACAAGTGTAGAGTATGGTTACCAAATTTTTTCCAATGAATCCGAGGACACTTTTTTTGGAGGGGTGGGGAGCTGAGTAGCAACAGGGAGTCAGTAGCGGGGATGGTGAGGCAAAAGACCCTGGGCCCAAGCACACATGCATATTGTATAAAGGTGCAAAGCCCTTCTTTTGAACCCTGTGAAACATAAATCTACAGAGTTTTTAAAAAACTGGCAACAGCCACCTGCGACTCCCGAGCCTCCCCCAATCAGTCAAAACAAAGGGGGAAGGGGGAAGGAGATCACACAAGACACATCCTATGCGCACAATACACATCGTATGGGGACTTCCAGCGAGGAAAAATGGCAGGCGCCACAGCAGCGAGCAGCTCCTGAAGCCAGCCAGAGCGGATGATACCCAGCTCTACCTCTCTTTTAAATCAGAACCAGTGAAGGCAGTGAAGGTCCTGTGCGAGTGCCTGGAGGCGGTTGGAGGTTGGATAGTGGCTAACAGATTGGGGTTGAATCCTGACAAGACAGAAGTACTGTTTTTGGGGGACAGGACGCGGGCAGGTGTGGAGGATTCCCTGGTCCTGAATGGGGTAACTGTGCCCCTGAAGGACCAGGTGCGCAGCCTGGGAGTCATTCTGGACTCACAGCTGTCCATGGAGGCACAGGTCAATTCTGTATCCAGGGCAGCTGTTTACCAGCTCCATTTGGTACGTAGGCTGAGACCCTATCTGCCTGCGGACTGTCTCACCAGAGTGGTACATGCTCTGGTTATCTCCCGCTTGGACTACTGCAATGCGCTCTACGTGGGGCTACCTTTGAAGGTGACTCGGAAACTACAACTAATCCAGAATGCGGCAGCGAGACTGGTGACTGGGGGCGGCCGCCGAGACCATATAACACCGGTCTTGAAGGACCTACATTGGCTCCCAGTACGTTTCCGAGCACAATTCAAAGTGTTGGTGCTGACCTTTAAAGCCCTAAACGGCCTCGGTCCAGTATACCTGAAGGAGCGTCTCCACCCCCATCGTTCTGCCCGGACGCTGAGGTCCAGCGCCGAGGGCCTTCTGGCGGTTCCCTCATTGCGAGAAGCAAAGCTACAGGGAACCAGGCAGAGGGCCTTCTCGGTAGTGGCGCCCGCCCTGTGGAACGCCCTTCCAGCAGATGTCAAAACGATAAACAACTACCTGACATTCAGAAGACATCTTAAGGCAGCCCTGTTCAGGGAAGTTTTTTAACGTGTGATATTTTACTGTATTTGTGGTTTTTATGGAAGCCGCCCAGACTGGCTGGGGAGGCCCAGCCAGATGGGCGGGGTATAAATAATAAATTATTATTAATTATTATTATTATTATTAACTGCGCTACCAGGCTGGCTCCGGGCTGCTGAGGGTGCCGCTGCCACATTTCCGGGGGACAGATTTGCAAATATGGGGACATTCCGAGGACGGAATTTCTCCGGGGACAGATTTGCAAATCCGGGGACTGTCCCCGGGGACGTCTGGTAACCCTAGTCTAGAGCCCATCTGCCTCCTCGCCACAAGACCACGAAGTTCAGAGTCTAAGATTACGGCATCAGTGCTTGTTGTCTTCGCAGAGAAGTCAACAAGTTCGTCTGGGCTTTGCATCAACAGCGTCTTATTTACAGCAGCCCTGGGGCTGTTGCAACGTGACCGCTTTGCTGTGTGCCCCCCCCTCTTTTCTTATCTGGCTTCTCAGATGATTTATTGCGGGTCCTACCTAAACACAGCCAAGGGCTTTGGGATTGGCAGACAAGATGTCTTGCCTCAGGGCTGGGGCCGGGGCAAACCGAAAGCAGACAGGCTCTCCTATTGACACCAAGAAAGCAAGAGGCAGGTCAAAGAGATGCAGCAACTTCGCAAGGAGGAAAGGTTGCAACATTCGGGCCTTTTTAGTTTAGAGAAATGGCAAGTAAAGGGGGGGGCATGATAAGTGCCCGAAATCATGCAGTGCGGAGAAAAGAGATAGAAAGTAGGAGGGGGGTATTGTTTTCTTTTATTATGTATTATGTATTTATTATGTATTTTGCATCTCATTTTGTCAGCTACGGCAACGGCTCGCCTCTCCAAAAGAGTCATGGAAGTGAGTCATGGGCAACATATAACCTGTTGTAAGAATCCTGAGGTCTCAGATATAGAATAAGTATTCATAAATTCACACATATCTAAATATATGAACCGTGTGTCTGGAGGAGCAATCCTGAAGCCATTTTGACTCTCCCAGTGACCTCAAATATTCCTCCGCAGTAAGGGAGGCAAATGCGGAAAGCCTTCCCATTGTCTTTTTGCTTGCAAATCCTGCCGTAAGGGCGTATTTGTGTATGAATAGGGTGAGCCTGTGACCTGGGTTCAGGAACTAAACCATCACAAAAGAATGGCCAGGCTGCCCAGGTCATGCAATCAGTGACCATTATCAGGTACCCTGGAAGGCAGGATTTCTGCTGTAGACTGCCTCCTTCTGTGATGTATGTATGATGTTTTTTGGGGGGGTGTCTTGGGCTACAGGGTGGGCAATTTCAAGAGTCTATATAGGGTCTTGCGCACCATTGTTCAGGGTTCTCCTCCCTCCTGCGAGTGGTGAGTGGGGACCCTGTTACAACAGTTCCTTTAATAAAGATAAGGCTTACTTATCGGTAGTGGCACCCGCCCTGTGGAACGCCCTCCCTTCAGATGTGAAGGAAATAAGCAGCTATCTTCTCTTTAAAAGACATCTGAAGGCAGCCCTGTTTAGGGAAGTTTTTAATATTTAATGCTGTATTGTTTTTAACACTTGATTGGAAGCTGCCCAGAGTGGCTGGGGAAACTCAGCCAGATGGGTGGGGTATAAATAATAAATTGATTATTTAGTATTATTATTATTATTATTATTATTATTATTATTATTATTATTATTATTATTACTAGCCGCTTTGCTTCTCAATATATTCTGGTTGGCCTGTTATTTTCTCCTACCAATAGAGGACCCACTTAAGGACTCTATACGGGCTCTGGAATACCCCATAAGGGAAAGGGAGCAGTTTTTCTTATAACAAACCGTTAGAAGTGACATCTCAACACCTTCCACATGTGCTGCGTCAGGAGAAATTGGGGTATTACAGGGCAGGGCAGAATTTGTGCTCTCCCAAGCCTACAATCCCAGCATGTTTGCACTCCTGTCTCAGCGATCTCTACACTGGCTTGGTGATGTCCACAGAATGCAAGATGGCAGGATCCCCAAGAATGTAGGAATCCCTTGCAAAGGACCGCCGTGCCTGGAGACAGACAGTCAGATCTTGTATCCATATCCGTCCACCAACAACATTCTCCTTTTGTATTTCTCTGTTGCGAACCACCCTGGGATGTTTGGATGAAGGGCCGCATACAGTGGTCCCTCGGTTTTTGAACGTAATCCGTTCCGGAAGTCTGTTTGAGTTCCAAAACGTTCGAAAACTGAAGGCAGAAGCCTCATTTCCTGTTCGATTTCCAAGGTGCATTCAAAACCTGAGGCATTTACTTCTGGGTTTTCGGCATCCGAGTTCTGAAATGTTCAACTACAGAGCCGTTTGAAAACCGAGGTACCACTGTACAAAAGTAATAAATAATATTAATAGTATTTTTTCTCCTTTTCCTAATTCTCATTGGCTACATTCAAATGAAGGAAAGCTACTGCATATCAGCCTAAGCAAGTTGTGCTTCCTTTTTCTGATTACTTGGCTATAGCTTTTGATAGAATACAGATAATTTAACAAACATTGTTGTATTACATTCTTCATGAAATTATCTTTCCAGTGATATGTAATTTTACGGTATTACTCCAAAAAAGTAGTGCTACGAGCCATCAAACCTCAGAAAGACGCTTTTCCCAAAAGGTTTCCACAATTTTGACCACTAGTGTAGACCTGGCCTTGTGCATCGTACTGGAACGGGGGCCAACAGTGAAGAACTGAGTGCAAACTGCAAATGGCAGAAATCCATTTATTGGTTAACGTTCCTGTTCCGCCTTTCTTCCACAAGGGAACTCAAGTCTACCTGGAAGCTACAGATGGTTTCTGTGTGTGTCCAACTGCTGAATGGACGCAAATGTGGACACCTTCAGACCACCCCATGACTTGTAGGGCGTCATAATCCATTTCAACGATAATTGCAAGTGTGTGTGTTTCTGTCTGTTGATGTGCCCAGCCAGACACGTTACAGGCATTCCAGTCTGTTAGGTATTTGTATTAATTACGGGCTTAATATCCAAGCTATGGCTGCTAAGAGGTTGCTGGAACTCTGTCATAAGGCACAGCTTGCCTGTGATTTCGCAAACAGGGCCTCCCTTGCCTGCAAACGGCTAATCCCATTGATACAGACGCTTGATTGTTCTCCAGCACACATTCCTATTTTTAAGTCAGCCGCCAGCAAAGCAAACTTTTAAGGAAAGGCACCCAGGAGGCTTTGTCCTGGTCGGCCAACCTAAAGCTGGTCTCTTGGCAGAGCAGGATTAAATTTGATCACGGTGACCTTCCTGATCTTAAGGGGGCTAACAAAGACAGAAGTGTTTTATTTATTTTAAGGTTTCAACAGATGCCCTCCACTGGCTTAGAAAGGGCAGATATTATAGCCCATATTATTTAGACCAAGGGTGGCCAACCAATTTCCACAGGCCATAACTACCCACTCAATTCTTATTTAAAAAAACACACGGTATTTGCCCCTCCAAAGTTTCCCTGCTGAAATGCCATGGTACCAAAAGCTTTTCAAAATGTGTGTCTCAAGGCTTCCCACTATTTCCCTATTTTTAAATTTAAAAATATATATTCTTAATTATTATTTTTTTAAAAAAGAACGACTCCAGAAAATTCCCTCCTGGGAATCCACAAGGTTTTTTGTACAATCTCCCATGCAGTTGTCCATTAAAAAATATCTTGTGAATGCAATAATGAATGAGAAAAACATTTAAAATAATGTAGAACAGATGATGAAGGCGGCTTTGAGAACTGCAGTTCCCATTATGCCCACTTATTTTTACTTTTTTGGCCACACCCACTCTGCCATGCCCCTCCCCCTAAAACTTAGTGATGGTCAATGCAATCCTTGGCCCGAAAAAGGTTCGCTGCTGCTGATTTAGATGTTTGTGGTACAGGAAAAACTGAAGATCGTCCCCCAGGAGATCAATGCCCTAGGTGGGAAGTGTCAAAAATTAAAATAAAATAAATATTCAAATATTCTCATCTCAGTTTTTTCCTAAACGTGATTTCTACTCAAACCAAAAGAGCCTTTAACTGCCTGTGGGTGGGATGTTTTTTTAACGCATTTCTTCCCCTGCTTGGTTTTATTGTATGTACAGTCGAACCTTGAGCTGCGGACGCAATCCGTCCTGAAGGCACGTCTGAAACTCGAAGCGTTCGCATCCGGAAGTGCCGCATTTGCGCATGCGCACGGTGCGATTTAGTGCTTCTGCGCATGTGCGAGCGGCGAAACCCGGAAGTAACCTGTTCTGGTACTTCTGGGTAGCCGCAGGACATAACGCAAAAAGACGCAACGTGAGGTATAACTGTATGTGGGACTGCTTGTTTCTTTGTAAGTCACTTTGGTTTGCCCTGCGAAAGATAAAGCGACTGACATATTGAATAATAATAAGAATAATAAGAATAATAATAGCATTATTGCATTTCTGTTTGCAGGTAGGGAGAGGTTAGTGACAGATGAAAGAGGCTCTGACAATCAAAAAATACAGATGGCTCAACTCCTTTCAGGATAACCAACCATTTGCATTTGGTATATATGTTTATTCTGTTTCCCTACAGCTGTCAGTCACACATAAGATTGAGAAAATTGGGGGGGGGGGAGAGGGAGGACCTGGCACAACCGTGAGGAATGTAAAAGTAGTCACTGCATAATGTTTTTGAGTGGGGGGAGGCACTACTCAGCCCCTGTTATGCCTGCCCAGCAGTCGCCGCCACCTCTTGGTAAAACCGGGAGGCCAGATCCGGCACGGCCTCCTCCAGCTGCCTGACGAATTCGTTCCGCTCGGCCTCCGACCAGCTGCGAAACCACTGGTCCCACAGCCTCATCTGGCACTCAAAGATGGAGGGGGGCTTCCCGGGTCCCACGCTCAGCCCCGCCAGCCCTTCCAGCAGGGGGAGCACCTTCCACGGCACGGCCTTGTCCACCAGGTCGCGGAGGAACTGCTCTCGCTGCGCCGGGGCCCAGCCCGACAGCCAGTGCAGGAGGCAGCGCATCTCTTGCGCGGTCACGTACGACAGGGGCAGCGGTTCGGACATCCTGCGGGGCAGGGGAAGAGCGGTGAAGAAACACAGGCAAGGGGAATTATGCAGCCTTGGGAGAAGCGAAGGAGCCTTCAGGAGACAGGGAGAGAGAAACAGGGCTTTGGGGAAGGGTGGGATTCAAACTCAAGAGTGGAAATAATAATAATATTTTTTTTTTACAGTATTTTTCGCTCTATAACACGCACCCAACCATAACACGCACATAGTTTTTAAAGGAGGAAAACAAGAAAAAAAATATTCTAAATGAAACAGTGGATGGATGATTTTTGTGGTTCATGCTGTGGCTACAGACATGTGATCTGATGGTGAGTTTGGGGTAGCCCAATGCAAAAATCCTGTGGACCCATGCTTTGTAACCACGTTTTTGCACCACTGCGGCCCCAGGCAACAGTGGGTGCGTGATTTTTTGGTGCAAGCTGTAGCCATGGACATGCTATGCGATCTGATGGTGAATTTGGGGTGACCCAGTGCAAAAATCCTGAGGATCCATGTGGACCCGTGCTTTGCTCCTTTAAAGCAAGCAGGCTCTCTGTCCCTCTCTCCTCCCCGCTCAGCGGCTCTTCTCCCGCTTTGCTGTTTCAAAGCGAGCCACGGAGGAGGGAAGGAAGGGGAACCATGACTCCTCTGCTCACGACTGCAGCAGATCCCCCCGCCATCCATAGGCATTCGCTCCATAACACGCACAGACATTTCCCCTTACTTTCTAGGAGGAAAAAAGTGAGTGTTATGGTGCAAAAAATACGGTATATCCCGCCCTCCCCAGCCGAAGCCGGGCTCAGAGTGGCTAACAACAATAAACGCAACACAGCATTCTAAAATCAATTCAAAATCAAATTCAATTAATGGCAACCATTGGGCTAGAGTTCTGTGAGGATTACCAAAAGAGGGGATCAGACTGTGCCTTGGCCAAAGGTCTGGTGGAACAGCTCTGTCTTGCAGGCCCTGCAGAAAGATGTCAAGACCCGCAGGGCCCTAGTGTCTTGTGACAGAGCGTTCCACCAGATCGGGGCCACAGCCGAAGAAGCCCTGGCTCTGGTTGAGGCCAGCCTAGCCTCCCTGTGACCTGGGACCTCCAAGATGTTTTTGTTTGAAGACCATAAGGTCCTCTGTGGGATATACCAGGAGAGGCGGTCCTGTAGGTACGAGGGTCCTAGGCCTCACAGCATAACTTTTGCCAAGCCCAGTAAGGTCAGTCCTTGATGTTTCCAGACAAGCAAAGTACCCTTAATAGCTAACTTGCAACAGGGGTGTAGCGGTTCAGGGTCCGTGGGGGGGGGGGGAAGCGTTGAAGACCCCTTATACCAGGGGTCTGCAACCTTTAAGACAAAAAGAGCCACTTGGACCTGTTTCCGAAGAAAAAAAAACTGGGAGCCGCAAAACTCGTCATTATAAAAATAACTTTTTTGTCACTTTTTTATTATTTCTTTGTTTGACCCCTCAGAATTACTCCTCCTCATAGAAATAAACGTTAAATTAACAAGTTACCTTTGTGTGTGTGTGTGTGTGTGTGTGTTCTTCACTCCCCTTCAAAACAGTGACCAGCGTACATGCCCCCTTTCAATGCTGTGACCAGCGTACATGCCCCTTACAATGTAGCGGGCGGGCGGGAAGGTGACGTCGGGACGGTGCGTGACTAACGCACGCACCGCCCCCATGCGACGTCACAGCCAGTACAGCGCCCGCCACAGTGGGGAGTGTCGGGGCACACAATGCGCCTCCTCCCCTCGCTAGTATCCGCCCCAGAGCCGCGGCAAAGGTGTAAAAGAGCCACATGCGGCTCCGGAGCCGCGGGTTGCCGACCCCTGCCTTATACTATGTCTGCAGCAGGGCACGGCCTCCAGCGACTTAAGAGTCACCTCTCAGCATGAAAGAGGAGCTTTTTAGCCACGGAGGATTGGCTTCTAGGGTCACTCTGGAGAAAGTGTGTGCGAAGAAAACCATTCAGGAATCACTGAAGTGTTGAGTTGAAAGGGACCCAAACCTGTTGCAAAGCAGTTGTTCTGTATGCTCCAAATCTAAGCATTTAGGGGCACATTTCCAAGAGAATTGTGTGCACGTTCTGTTACGTATAATGGAACTTCAGAGGAAACTTAGATGGTTGTAATATCTTAGAAGGGGCGTGTCTGTGACTGTGCCTCTCTTTTACTCTCCCTCTCCCTGATCTCTCCTCCTCACTCGATATCAATTCTTCTCCTTTTTAGAAATCCAGCAAAATGTGGTTCCCATCAAAGAAATGGACAAAGGATACCATCCAATACTATTATTTCCACTTCCACAGGAATAGTTGCCAAAGTTCGTCCCCTGGAGGTGCCACGAATTGAACCTGACGTTTTGCTCCACGTGCTCCACCTCCGGCTATGAAAGCGACACAGTACAAATGAGGGGACCAAGGCATGCCTTGAAGGCAGAGTATTGGCAAATGGGTGTCGATGGTGCAACTTACAGGAAATGGTGCTGCTCCAGCTGCCTGCATGTAACAATCGCTCTAGAAGGCTGCAACACCACAGTGAGCTGTGCAAAACTGTGGCAGGCTCTCGCAGCAGAAGTAAACAAGAGATGGAAAAGACCCTGCGAATCCTGGAGACGAAGAACTGTACAGCACAAATGACCAACTGAAATGAAACTGATATGGGATCCCATATGCTAGCACCAGGGGGGGGTTATGAAGGCTGCTTCTTCAAACTACCAGGGACCTTACAAGAGAAGATTTGCAACAGAGAATTCTGGAAGAAGGTGGAGAGAGGAAGCTGAATATATGAGTGTCCAGTCAGGAATGCCCTGATGGTGCATAGGAATGAGGATAGGGGGTGGGCTGGAGATGTTTACATGTGAAACCTGGGTTCAAACCGTCTATCCGCTAAGGATGTAAAATGAGAATATTATTGTATATATTTATTTCCCCTGATGGAACTCAATGCAACTTGTAGGATCTGAGAAGAACCTGAATCAAACACAGGGTGACGTTCTTATCATTTTTTAAGCAATGAAACTAGGATCCACTAATACCCTATTAATACACGGGCAGGAAACATCCCAGTAACTAATTAAAATGTTGCAGCAAATAGCTTGCTTTTTTTTTTTACACCAGGGGGCATAATTTGAACCACCTCTTAGCTCCTGGAGGGAGGGGGGTGTCCGTTTTTGATCTGAGAAGGACTCCCGCAATCGTCCACCCCACCCCACCTTCCGAAAACGTGGAACGTCTCAGAAAGATCAGCCCTAAGCATAGTTCTGATTTAAGTGCAAATATAGCTCCGAGATTTCAGAAGGTTGCGGTGCAGAGGGAGGGTCAAGTTTCGTCACTAACCCTTTCCCCACCACCACCCACCCATTCATTTGTGCAAATGCCACAACGGGAGGGGCTGCCAATGCAATTCCACGATTCCCTCCCCTCCTATATAACATGACAGGGTGGGGTGGGGGGGGGTGACGCTCCCAAGAAAGATCCCCGGAAAGCCGGCGCCGAGTTCTCACCTGAGTCCGCTCCCTGCTCAACACGCGCCTCCTCCTGTCCCGACATCCAATGTTGCCGCTTCCATTTTTCTCCTCGGGGAGGAGACTCGGGAGGAGGGACGGAAAGAGCCGAGCGCGTCCGGAAACGCCCGAGCTTCAGTCCAATGATTTGCGCGGGGAGGAGGAGGAAAGAACGACGATCGCCTTCCTCTCGGCGGAAATTGCCGAGGGGGTTTCGCGCGACACGACCGGGGGGGTTCCGGAGATCGCCGGAAGTTACCGAGGACCTTGCCGGAACTTGCTTCCGGATTGGAGCGCTCTTCGGGAGACCCGGAAACACCCGAAATAGCCCGGAAAGAATCGCCGGGCGAGGGTAGCACCCGCGCAACTCCCCCCTTTGCCCTCCCTCCCTCCCCTCATTTGGGGTTCTGGATACTGAGCGGAAGTGGCCGGAAACGCACGACTGCGAACGAAGCGCGGGCGGAGATTCTCGAGCGAAGTCGAAGGCGGTGTCGGAGGTCGCCTCAGAGCGCCGAAGCCCCCTCCGGAAGTTTCCGAACGCCCCCGAAGCTCCGGGGAGGGCAGGCAGCGGCGCCACACAAGATGGCGGACGGGGAGGAGGTTACTCTGGACGGGAGGCCGCTCCAGGCGTTGAGGGTCGCCGACCTGAAGGCGGCTCTGGAGCAGCGCGGCCTGGCGAAGAGCGGGCAGAAGAGCGCGTTGATCAAGCGCCTCCGCGGGGTGAGAGAAAGGGCCCGGCGGAAGGGGGCCCTGGGGCCCGGGCCACTCCGCGCATGCGCAGACCCAGACAGGCAGTTTTTTGGCCTCAGCGACGGGGCTCTTGGCCCCGGGGTGCAGATCGTTAGTACGCATGTGCGGGGCAGTATCCCACTACTGCCACCAAGTGGCGGGGCGAGGTTGTGCGGGGCGCCACTGGTTGCACAAGTGGGGGGGGAGAGGACGGTGCTCACACCACCAAAAGGAGAGGGCCCCCCACTTCTGACATCACTTTGGGGTCACCCAGCAGGAGGAGGGAGTGGAGGTCCTCTTTTAAAAAAATAGGGGGGGGTAGATCTCGTGAAGGCTGGATCTCCTGTTACTAAATCAAAGCGGGATTGGGATCCAGTGTTGGAGGGAAAGTGGTAGGTTTTATAACTCATTAAATTACAACTATATCCCTTTTCAGTTTCACCTTTCACCCTTGCAAAATTATTTTTTGAGGGGGGGTGTCCCCCTGGTTAATTCACTGCGTTTTATACCTTCATTGAGCTTCCCTGGCAAATGTTACAGGCGGTTAGGACGAGCCAGGTGAGCTTTGCAAGAGCTAAGCTGCTGTGTTGGAGCTCTCCCAGTTGAAGATGCGTTGCATTTTTATTTTACGTAAAGTTTCTACGAAAGGTTAAAGTGTGCAGAGGGTTTTGCGAGTATCTCACTTGAGCACGTTGAGAACTTTGCACAAGGTCGGCTCCAAGTCTTTCAACTTCAGAACTGTACCCCGCTGAAAGCAGGCATTTCTCTATTCTGTCCCTTTACAACGAGGGAGAGTTGTGTTTGGAATGTAATATAAGTAAATGGAAGCAGAATCTGTGAATGTATAGAAGTATAGGGAGTCCAGAGTGAGGGATTGGGAACCTGTGCATTTTACCCTGTGTGGACTTTCATTCTTGATGCCATGGGGCAGGGAGTGAGCAATTGAAAAGGAAGACAAGTTGTGGTGCCCTGTCCTGGGCAAAAGTTCGTTATGCTCTGATTTTGGGGTCAAATGGATGTATGGGATAAATGGATATTGCTCGTTCTTATGTCACGTTATTGGAACTGTTCCCAGACTGTACGTGTGTGCATGTGTGGTGTTATCTTCCCCCCCCCTTCCTTGACTTAAATATTGTGATCATGATGTTAACACCTGCTGAGTTCATGGCAGAGGTAAGATTGGAACCCAGGGCTTTCCTGCTTCACTGTTGAATCTTTTGGGTTACAGTAGCTGTCAGTCCTCTGGGTGTCAGTGCTTTTCTGGCTGCTTACAGTGTAGTACTATGCCAATTTTCCAATTTGTGAATAAGCCCTGCTGTGCTTGGTGCACCTTTGTGCCACGTAAATGAATCAAAGCCTTTGGCGTGTAGCTGCAAATTTGGATTATAGAAGCATAGGAAGAACCTAGCTGCTGGATCAGGGCACAGGCCCATCTAGTTTAACGTCCTGTTCTCACTAGTCTGGTGTCCTGTTCTCCAGCAGATGCCCAAGGGAAAGCTGCAGGCAAGACCTGGACGCAACAGCACTCTTCCTACTTGAGTCATACCTACTCTTGACAGTGGAGCTAGACCATAGCCATATCCTCCATTATAAGGCAGTGTGATGTAACACACAGAATTGTAGAGTTGGAAGGGACCACAAGGATCATATAGTCTAACCCTTTTGCCCAACCTGGGGCTCAAACCCACAACCCGGAGAGTAAGAGACTCTTGCATAAGAAATGGGCCCTCAAATGTAGGTTTTGAGTTGAAAGTGGGTCCAGTGTCCGGAAGGGTTGAAGACTATTGGTGTAACAGGTTACTGTGTTGTACAGTGATACCTTGGGTTGCATATGCTTCAGGTTACATACGCTTCAGGTTACAGACTCCACTAACCCAGAAATAGTACCTCGGGTTAAGAACTTTGCTTCAGGATGAGAACAGAAATCGTGCTCCGGCGGCGCGGCAGCAGCAGGAGGCCCCATTAGCTAAAGTGGTGCTTCAGGTTAAGAACAGTTTCAGGTTAAGAACGGACCTCTGGAACGAATTAAGTACTTAACCCGAAGTACCACTGTACTAGAACTGGGAGACTTGGGTTCTAATTGCCATTCACCCGTGAAGCACATTTGGGGTCGGTATCTCAGCCTCACAGGGTTGTTGTGAGGTTAAAACAGGTGGCGTACGAGTTCCCTGAAGGAAGGGCAAGACAGAAATGTAACAGGCAACATGGGGCTGTGTGTGGTGAGTCAGTTACGTGTTACATGAATCCTATTTGCACTTACTTCATTGCACATGTCTTTCTGCATTAATAGACTCTGTTTGGGCGGGAGTCAGATCTTAATCTGAGCTGCAGCTTGTTAGGATTTGGGGCTGGAAGTACTGAGAGAGCCCACCCTGGAACCTGCAGGGTGCTCAGAAAGAAGAGTCGCTCTTCCATCAGTGACTACAACCAGCCTCAGATCATTGGGATTAAAAAGAGAGGCTGCGTGGAAGCGCTGAATTAGGCAAGGCTTGCGCTACAGAATCGGTAACTTCTCTTGAGAATTACTTGTGCTTAGATACAATGCCGTTGCATTTTCCGAGCGTCAGTACTGTACGTTTCTGGCTGGCACTGTAAATTCCCCCGTCTGTGTAAAGAACTCGCTTCCTCCTGTATTCTGCGTGTTTTCTGTTGATTTGTTCTTCTGGCTGGAGTAATTTGGCCCCCAAGAGATTTGGTCAATTGACCAAATGAAAGTATCTTTAAAGATAGTTAAAATAGTGACCAACAGGTTGCATGTGAAATTCAAAACATTAATTAGACGGCTGTCATTTGTTGAAGAATATATATATATATTTATTAGATGCACGCTTCCCTCAAGGAACTCAGTGTGGCGTACATGGTTATCCTGCCATTATATCTGCACAACAACCCTGTGAAGTAGGTTAAATTGAGGGCATTTAATAGGCCCAGCATCACCTAATCAGCTTCATGGCTGAGTGGGGATTTCAACCTAGATCTCCCTGGCCCTAGTCATGAGATCATACAATAGTAGAGTTGAAAGGGATCCTGAGGGTCATCTAGTCCAGTGTTTCCCAACCTTGGGCCTCCAGCTGTTTTTGAACTACAATTCCCATCTTCCCTGACCACTGGTCTTGCTAGCTAGGGATGATGGGAGTTGTAGTCTAAAAACAGCTGGAGGCCCAAGGTTGGGAAACACTGATCTAATCCAACCCCGTGCCAAGTCTCCAAACTCTGCTCACTAGGCATTAGCTTTTGTTGCCAATTACTTCTTGTTGCCCCTGTTTGAAGATGCCTGCAGTTAATAGGAAGTGTTCACTATAAGAAGCATTGCTTTTTTGCTGTTGGGTTTTGTAGGCGTAACATGACAGTGTACTGAAATGCACCAACCCTACTTCTTGCCACTGTTTGAGTTGGACTTGATGTTCTGAGTTTCAGGCACGAGTGGAAATTTGTCCTTGTTTTCATCCCTGAATGACACGGATACCTGATTTCAACTTTCTTATTATAGTAGATCTCATTCTGTGTGTGCAGTAGGGGTTGTCATTGCTTCTGATTAGGTAACTTTTTGGGGGTGGGGGAAGATGGCCCTTTTGCATTTAGGTTGGCTGGGTTGGAATGTCCCAGGTGGAAGGGGCTACACTCTGGCTTTAAATCAAGTTTAGTAACCATTAGATCAACCCTAGTCGCTCCAGAGATTTTGGACTAAAACTCCCATCTACCACGGTTAGCACAGTCACACTGGCCAAGGTGAATGGGAGATGGGGTCCAGAAAGTTGGAGGGCGCTGGGTTGGGGAAGACCACATTAGTTGCTGTAGGAAACCAGGATTTATCTGAAAAGCACACAGAATATTAAATAAGCTTCAGCGTCATGGCTTTGGTTTTTCTTCTTTCAAAGTCAGTTATTATGACCTACCTGATTGGATTGTTGTGCAGATAGAGGATAAAATTTTGTATCGCCTTTTTGCAAATGAAGAAGTGTGCTGCAAATGATTAGCTGTTGCAGAAACTTCCGTGATGCATCTGGCAGGGTTCTGTGTGATGAGATATGACTTGGGTGATGTACATGTTTGGTGCTGTACGGATGTGCTGTTTCAGTGAGATGTTGACAAGTTAGTAGCTAACTATCTTACCATGAATCGCATGTGAGCTTCCTCTGAAGATAACTGATGAAGGTTGGATGTGTAAAAAAGTCAACTGGAGTCTTAAGTTCCAGACTGGTGGCACGGGTGGTTTCTGACTTGGGATAATTGAGTCCATTTCTGATCAAGCTGACATCTGTGGATTCACCTGGATTGTACTAAAACCTAGTGAGATTAATTACATTTCAGTAAGAGGCGCAAAAGAAGTGGTGCAGAATTATTAAGTAATGACTTCTGATTCACCATTGTGTGTTGGTGGAAAGGCATGCAGTGATTTGGAGGTGCCGTTGTGTTAGGACTTGGAGGACGTGGGCTTATTGGGGGGCATGAAGGAGAAGTTGTCCTTGGACAGGTCCCAAGAGCTGGGATAGGTAGGGTGGTTTGGATTTCTTGAGTCAGGTTGCTGAGTGAGGGTTGGGGTGAGTTTAGGAAATGCAGGGTTGGGTTAAAGGCTAATCCTCGCTGGGAAAGTGACAGACGAATGCTGGGTTTAACTCACGGAACTGAGAATGGATTGAATGGTTGGTTACTGGATGTCTTGAGAAACTGGTGTAACTCCGGTTGTAACCTTTATGGCTTAGCATATGGAAGATGCTTCTTGATGGACTTTGGGATAGGGTGTTTTTTTTAAAAAAAGAGAGATGGTGATTAGTATGTTTGGGTCATGGACCAGCCTTGGGTGCTGCCAAAGTTCTGGGCAGTGTGAGATTATCTGATATCTCCCTTTTTTCATTTCAGGCCCTGATGCTCGAAAACCTCCAGAAGCACTCAACCCCTCACACCACCTTCCAACCCAATTCCCAGGTGAGAGATGGCCTGTGTGGTTGTGCTACATTGAACTGGCTGCAGGGAGCATCCCTTTCCCTTTGTCTCTCTGCAGTTGGCCCTGAAAGTCCCATGATAATTGTGTGTGCCCAGTTCCATTTCTGCCCCCACAGCTGCAGCGTGAACTTAGGGGCTCCTCAGCTTTACTTCCCTGGAGTTTGTGCCTTCCCATTCTAACTTGCTAGATCCACCACAACTGCCTAAGGTTGGGGTCGAAACTCTTGCCCTCCTTGTAAGGCCCAGTTTCTCTATTGTGTCCTGTCAGATTGGCGAGGAGATGAGTCAAAACAGCTTCATCAAACAGTACCTGGAGAAGCAGCAGGAGTTGCTGAGGCAACGTCTGGAACGGGAAGCACGGGAAGCTGCGGATTCAGAGAGTGAGTATAATGAGCCCCGTTCTCTCTCTCTCTCTCTCTCTCTCTCTCTCTTCTCTCTCTTCTGATTCTCCACCCCAGTAAGACTTGGGAGGCAGACTGCCTTTCAGAACCAAAGAATTAAGGCGCATTCTTGTGTTGCTGTTGTTGGCTTTTAATTCTGTAACCAAAGAGCCGGAACGGAGCCCACACCTCTGGCTAACGGGAACTCTTAAGTCTAATTGGTAGCTAGCATATCTTTTGCCTGCTGCGGATGTTTGGAATGAAACCAAAATGGATGTCTTGGAATGGTTTGTGTTCTGAGCAGTCATATTGCCCACCCTGGAGCTCCTGTGGCATTCGGAAGCTTGTGCCGCTTTTGAAAATACAGTCGTACCTTGGGTTAAGTACTTAATTCGTTCCGGAGGTCCGTACTTAACCTGAAACTGTTCTTAACCTGAAGCACCACTTTAGCTAATGGGGCCTCCTGCTGCCGCGCCGCCGGAGCATGATTTCCGTTCTCATCCTGAAGCAAAGTTCTTAACCTGAAGCACTATTTCTGGGTTAGCGGATTGTGTAACCTGAAGCGTATGTAACCTGAAGCATATGTAACCCAAGGTACCACTGTACTGATTTTGTTCATTCCTAGTTAGTGGCACTTTCCACAATACAGTGGTGCCCCGCAAGACGAACGCCTCGCAAGACGGAAAACCCGCTAGACGAAAGGGTTTTCCGTTTTGGAGGCGCTTCGCAAAACGAATTTCCCTATGGGCTTCCTTCGCAAGACAAAAGCCCATAGGGAAATCTCCGGGACAGCGGGGAAGCGCAGCGCGTCTTCCCCAGTGTCCTCGGACCTCCTCCGAAGGCTGGTGGTGGGGCGGAGAGACCTCCTCTTGCCGCCAGCCTTCGGAAGTCTGCTCCGAAGGCTGGCGGCGGGAGGAGGTCTCTCCGCCCCACCGCCAGCCTTCGGAAGGCTGCTCCGAAGGCTGGCGGCGGGAGGAGGTATCTCTGCCCCTCCGCCAGGCTTCGGAAGGCTGCTCCGAAGCCTGGCGGCGGGGCGGAGAGACCTTCTCCCCGCGCCAGCCTTCGGATGGCTGTCCTGAAGACTTGGGGTGGGAGAAGGGTTTTCCTTCCCACCGCCAACATTCAGAATGCTGTTCTGAATGTTGGCGGTGGGGAGGAAAAACCCTCCTCCCACCGCAAGCCCCGGGAACAGAGGAAAAGCGCTGTGCGCCTTCCCCTCTGTTCCCCTACCTGTCCTGAAGGCTTGCGGTGGGGAGAAAAGCCCTTCTCCTCACCGCCAGCCTGGCAAGCGGTTTCCATAGGAACGCATTAATTGATTTTCAATGCATTCCTATGGGAAACCGTGCTTCGCAAGATGAAAAACTCGCAAGAAGAAAAAACTTGCGGAACGAATTAATTTCGTCTTGCGAGGCACCACTGTATTTGTATTACACAAGAGTCTGTGGTCATTTTAGGTGGAAAAGAAAAATGGTACAAATGTTTCATCCGGTTCCCTGAAAAAACGGAGGCTCTGGCAATTCGAGACATACAAAGAGAAGTCTCTGAGGTTGCAGACAGCTTCCTTCTTTTCTTTTCTTTCCTCCTCCTCCTTTATATATTTATTTATACCCTGCCTTTTTACCTGACGGGCCTCAAGGCAGCTTACAGGTGAAAACAAGAACCACTAAAATCATAGAAAAGGCAATTGTTAAAATACAGTGGTACCTCGGGTTACAGACGCTTCAGGTTACAGACTCCACTAACCCATAAATAGTACCTTGGGTTAAGAACTTTGCTTCAGGATGAGAACAGAAATCGCGCGGTGGCAGCGGGAGGCTCCATTAGCTAAAGTGGTGCTTCAGCTTAAGAACAGTTTCAGGTTAAGAACGGACCTCTAGAATGAATTTAGTACTTAACCCGAGGTACCACTGTACAATTAAACACTGATAGAATTAAAGCTATACAGTGGTACCTCTGGATGCGAATGGGATCCGTTCCGGTGCCCTGTTCGCATCCTGAAGCGAACGCAACCCATGTCTCTGCGGGTCACGATTTGCCGCTTCTGCGCATGCACATGACGTCATTTTGAGCGCAAGCGGCGAAACCCGGACATGATGCGCTCCGCTACTTCCGGGTTGCCATGGAGCGCAACCCGAAAAGGCTTAACCTGAAGCAACTTCAACCCGAGGTATGACTGTATAATCTAAAAAATCTGTTTAAAACATACCAATGATTGCAATGAAAACAGCATGATACAAGCAGTAAATCCCCAAAAGCCTGTTGGAAGGAGAAAGTCTTCACCTGCCAGCAGGACAGCAAGGAAGAAAACTGTCTAACATCTCTAGGGAGGGAGATCCAAAGTCTGGGAACCACCACTGAGAAGGCCCTCTCCTGCTTCCCCACGAAGCATGCCTGTGAAAGTAGGGTGCTTCCTCCCTCCCTCTCTTTCTCTCTTCCTTCAGTTTATATGCCACCCTTCCCTCCCAAAGGAGCACGTCAGTAATAAAAACATTTGAAAACACATTTTAAAAATAGTTGAAAACATTTTTAAAACATTTGAAAACTCCACTGCCTGGAGAAGAGGAGGTTAAGGGGTGATATGATAGCCATGTTCAAATATATAAAAGGATGTCATGTGGAGGAGGGAGAAAGGTTGTTTTCTGCTGCTCCAGAGAAGCGGACACGGAGCCATGGATCCAAACTACAAGAAAGAAGATTCCACCTAAACATTAGGAAGAACTTCCTGACAGTAAGAGCTGTTCGACAGTGGAATTTGCTGCCAAGGAGTGTGGTGGAGTCTCCTTCTTTGGAGGTCTTTAAGCAGAGGCTTGACAACCATATGTCAGGAGTGCTCTGATGGTGTTTCCTGCTTGGCAGGGGGTTGGACTCGATGGCCCTTGTGGTCTCTTCCAACTCTATGATTCTATGATTCTATTCTATGATTATCTCAGCCAGTGACTGTCAGGAACAGTGTTTTTCAGTCATCGAACGCCCAGGCAAGCAGGGCTGTTCTCAAGTTCCTCCTGAAAGTTAATAATGATGGATCCAGGTGCGACTCACCTGGGAGGGATTGTAGGGGCCGAAGTAGTGGTACCTCGGGTTACATACGCTTCAGGTTACATACGCTTCAGGTTACAGACTCTGCTAACCCAGAAATATTACCTCGGGTTAAGAACTTTGCTTCAGGATGAGAACAGAAATCGTGCTCTGGCGGCGCAGCGGGAGGCCCCATTAGCTAAAGTGGTGCTTCAGGTTAAGAACAGTTTCAGGTTAAGAATGGACCTCCAGAACGAATTAAGTACTTAACCCGAGGTACCACTGTAGTTGATATTAAGGAAGGCACTCTTTTAGTTACTGACAAGTCTGCAATTCTAACCCTCAAAGAGTGACCAAAAAATTCAGAAAAACTGTGTTAAGTTCCAGATTAAGGAATTTGATAAGAACACTGAAAGATCGAGAAATATTTTGCCTGCGGAAAGAAAAATAGATAAGAGGATTGAAATGATGGGCAAAAAGCTGGAGGAAAGGATGCTGTCATTTTTGTCTGCTGACTGTGCTGTTTTTAAATCCTTATGGGTGTCTCTATCGAAAGGCAGGTTATAAATTCTGTATAGAAAACAAGTAAATATGTAACTTGGAACACAAACTTTGATGACCTGGCACGTTAAATGGGTCCTTGTGAAAAAGCCCCTAGTAAAAAAGCAAAGGGAATGTTAAAATGAAGTTGATGAGTTGGAAAACGTTTTGAGGAGAAACAGCTTGATCTTGTGGAGTGTTTCTGATGAAACAGAGGGCAAACAGCTGGTCCTCTCCAGTAAATTAGGGGTTCGTATTCTGCACATTTACTGATGGAGAAGATAGCATGGAAGTTTTATATCAGGTATCAGAATACTGTTGACTGACCATGACAGTTATTAATAAAGCTTTCAAGATAACGATATAAAACCATTAAGTAGTTTATGTTACTTAAAATCGGAGGTTGTGATTAACAAAGGTCATGTTTAAGTCTTCCTTCCTCAGGGATGCTGCAAGAAGAAATACGTTGAAATTTGTGGTTGTGCGACAGGATAGGCATCAATAATTGGTGGGTTTCTCCCTCTAAATGAATTGCTTCTTCTTGCCCCATTAGGGTAGGCAGTGTATGTTTGTTCTTGAGAAGAAGGTCAGTTATTTATTGACCACTTTAAGAAATTTGGAAATAACATTGAGGGACAGTTTATTTATTTATTTAAAAAAAAACAACCTTTGTTGCTATAAAAACACAACCATCTTGTGAAGCTTAGGTGGGCATCCTATTTTGTTGAGCAGTGCAAAGAGCCCTTTTTGGCTGATGAGGTCAAAGGCCCTTGTCAGGTCTAGGAAGGCGATATAGAAGGGCACCTCTTCTCTTGGCAAGACTCCTGCAGCTGGAACAGTGAGAAAATCACATTGGCTGCTGACCTCTGAGCTCTAAAGCTGTATTGTGACACGGGATAGACTCTGTCAGTGAATGACTGTAATCTGTTGAGAACCACACAGGCAAAGGTTTTCCCCACAATACTCCACAGGGAGATCAAAATATATCAATGCAGTTTACAGTAATACCTGTATACAGTGCTTTTTTTTCTTTAAAAAAATGTTTAGGGGTACTCTCGTTTTGACTCAAGAAAATCACCATTTTATAGTTCAAATCGGGGGAAATAAATACAGTAAATGGACAAAAGTAGAAAGATTCATAAAATGTTTAGGGGTATGCATCCCCCTGCGTCCCCCCAGAAAAAAGTGCTGCCTATATATACTGTATATATTTAAATTAAAACCTGAGACCATCAGCTAACTGTTATAGAAGGATGTATTATTAATTGCCTGCATAAGCCTGGCAAAATAGCCAACTTTTCTTCTCTCTATATATATATATTTATTTAATTTTCCAAATTTTGAAATTTACAAACCATCGTCAAACAACCAAAACAAAAAGAGAATTCCATAAATTCCCATGGACTTCCCTCCTCCCCTTTGTGGGTCCTTGTGTTAACCTTTTTCCTCCTGCATCTTCTCTATTAATACAATTCTATTAAATCTCCATTACAACCGTAGTCCAACGTTAACGACAAGTATCATTCCGATCCTACTACTATTTTTAATTATTTACAATGATTTTAAAGATAAATTATATTTTTTCCCCATTTCTTACTAAAATGTTGGTCTTCCTGATTCCTAATTTTTCTGGTCATTTTTGCCGTTTCAGCATAGCCCATCAATTTAATCTGCCATTCTAAAATAGCCAAGTTTCCAGCAGGCATTTATAGGTTGAAACAGAAGGCACCTGCTGAATCCCTGGTGGCAAAGCATTCCTCAGGACTCGGCCAATGACACTAAAGGCTCTTTTTCATGTTGATGTCACGTGAGCCTCGCCAACTCTGGGGCAACCTAGGTTTGCCCATAACCCAGATTTTAGAATAAGGGGGATGAGTGCAGCAAACCTTGCCTTCACACACTCCCTCCCTCCTTTCTCCTCCTCCAAAATAGCCATGGGAAAATCAGAGCCTTCTGCTTCCATTTCAGACATTACATCGGAACCCTAAACCATGTTTTATCTTAACCATGGTTTGTTGAAATAAGTCACTTTCTTAAATGCCAGGTTGTATCTAACTAGGTTCTACTCATGGTAGACCTACTGGAATTAGTGGACCTACATTAGCCATCTCCACGAATGTCAACTTCCTACATGGCTGACTTTGGATGCATTTGCAGTTTCAAGAAACCACGGTCAAGATCAGCTTCGGCTTATCAGGTTTGGGTGACACAGCAAGGTGTGGTTGGTCTACAATGGAAGTGATGCTTCCAAACTCCTCCCTGCAGCTTTGATTGATTGATTGATTGATTGATTGAATTTATATACAGTGGTACCTCAGGTTAAGTACTTAATTCATTCCAGAGGTCCGTACTTAACCTGAAACTGTTCTTAACCTGAAGCACCACTTTAGCTAATGGGGCCTCCCGCTGCTGCCGCGCCGCCGAAGCACAATTTCTGTTCTCATCCTGAAGCAAAGTACTTAACCTGAAGCATTACTGGGTTAGCAGAGTCTGTAACCTGAAGTGCATGTAACCTGAAGCATATGTAACCCGAGGTACCACTGTACCGCCCTATACCCAGAGGTCTCATACTTGGGGGAGGGGAACACGTGGACCCGAGATTCCCCGTTTTCATTCTGATAATGCTGAACTGCTATTTAGCATCACATCTGAATCGACCCTGCAACTCCAGGTCAGTGGTGGGGGAATTTGGGCCCAGGTGCTAAATGTGGCTTGCCGTCCCTCTGCATTTGGCCCTGAGAAGCCATGTTCCTTGCTGACCTTGCTTCTCACTCTGAGCATCTTTGCCTTCCTGGAATGTGTCCTTGAGCTCTGATAATGCCTCTCACTTGTTTGGGTGGAGGATAGAGAGGTATGTGTGTGGAAGCTAAACTCCTGTGCAAAGGAAAATTTTGACACTCCTTGCTGCTCCAGCTTTTTGTCTCTGGTATGTTGTCCTCAAAAGGTTGCTTGGAAGGGAATGGGGCCACCCCTGCTCTAGACAATTCTGCTTTAAAACCAGATGTAACCGTGTAAAAGGTCTGATGGAATCATTTTAAGCCAGATTTTCATAGCTCTGAAATACAGACATCTTAGGAGACTGTCAGATTCAGACATGATGCAGCAAGATTGCATTAGTTAATTACGGAAATGGATGGACTATAGCAAATGGCATTCGGAAAACATGAACCGTTTGGAGCTGTTTACAATATTCTGATGCCATTATTGAGAGTCTGGGTTGTTACGGGCATGATAGATTTTACAGTACATGTTCTGGAGGGTCGGTTGCAATTTTGAAAAGTCTTAAGTAAAGAAAAAGGGGAAAAGATGTACACTATGTTCTGTGTTGTTTTCCTTGTTATAGCACAGCTATGCAACTGCAGGGTTAATGTGCTTTTACCTCACCTCTCAATTGCTAAGAAACAAACTCGTGCGGTTGACTCCAGAGTGTTGATTCGAGTGTCTAGCTCTGGGGTATGCAAACTAAGGCCCGGATCCGGCCCAATCGCCTTCTAAATCCGGCCCACAGACGGTCCAGGAATCAGCGTGTTTTTACATGAGTAGAATGTGTTCTTTTATTTAAAATGCATCTCTGGGTGATTTATGGGGCATAGGAATTCGTTCATCCCCCCCCCAATATATATTTTAAAAAGCTAGACCAGGGGTCAGCAAACTTTTTCAGCAGGGGGCTGGTCCAATGTCCCTCAGACCTTGTGGGAATATATATATTCCGGCCCCCCACAAGGTCTGAGGGACCTTGGACCAGCCCCCTGCTGAAAAAGTTTGCTGACCCCTGGTCTAGCTTTTTAAAAGGTGCGTGCTCTTGACCCGCTCAGAACGTGGCTCCCGTGTACCTGGCTTCCAGAGAAAAAGAGGGCAGGAGGAGGTGCCCCAGACAGACAGGCATTTGCAAACCTCTTGGCGCTCATCCAGTTTCTCTGTTGGGAAGATGTGTTTGCACAGGCTTCTGCTGCAGAGGGATTTGGGTGACCAGGGGGACGAGGCGGTGGTGTTGCTCCCTCCAAACAGCTGGGCAACATTCCACACCTTGAGGCTTAAGGCGATGCCCTGTTAGATGCCCTGTTAGCACATCCGTTTCCTTCCATGCCCGCTGATCGCCAAGGTTGATCAAAGCTTTTGTTCAGAATGTGGATTATCAGTAACTATTGTTCCACTAGATGTACATAGATCAGAGGCGAGCCAGTGTAAGAGTGTTTACACACCTGCACACCCACCAGGGAGAAGAGCAACTTCTGGCTATGCCTCCAGCAAGATAAGAGATCAGCCACATTTGCTCTCACTTCAGCCAAAATGGAGAGGCATGGCAGAGGGGAATGTTTGCTCCTAGCTGTTTGTTTGTGTGTTTGTGTACACATACACATACACACTACTTGCTTGCTTGAGTATTATGAGAGGCTTCTGGTAGTACTCATGTTGACAGTAATCAGGAAGAAGACCCACGTCTTGGGGGGGGGCAGACTTATCTGCTTACCATGCAGAAGGTTCAGTCCCCAGTGAAATCTCTAGGTAGGGCTAGTCCGTGTACTAGTATAATTATTTCTTCTACTGTTATTGGTAGTGTATCATCATCATTGTTCAATTTATTGCCCACCCTTCATCAGCAGATCTCTGGGCCGGTTATAGCAACTTAAAACTCAGCCATCACAACCAATTAGAATTCAATTTTTAAAACAGATAAAACCAGTGACGGTCACAGAAATAGGGCAGGTCATACTGAGATTGATGGACCAATGTTCTGAGATGTTACCAAGCAGCCTCCTCTGCTCCTGGGGTCAAAAATGAAGGTACTGGGGTGGGGTTGGAGCCCTTTTATATATATTGGGGGCGAATAGATTGGCAGCTGATCTGTTTGCTTTGTGAAGATGTAATTGAGCCGGATAAATGAAAGAAAGTCCTTCCTCACGCAGTGGAACTATGGAACTCCCCCCCCCCACAGGAGGTGGTGATGGCCTGAAGGGAAGAGGAAATCACAGCATGCCTCCAGCATGGCCATCCACTCAAATGGCTTTAGAAGAGGAGTGGACAAATTCACGAAGAACAAGATGGCTACTAGCCATTATGACTGTGCTTTGGCTCCATGGTCAGGGAGAGCAATGCTTCTGAGTACCATTTGCTGGAAACCAGAGGAGGAGAGAGGGATCATGAGTTTGAATCCTGCTGGCAGGTTTCCAAAATGCCTCTGGTTGGCCACTGCGAGAACACAATGCTGGACCTTGTGCCTCCCCCAGCTGCCACCTGAGCTTCCCATGGGGTGGCCTACCTTGTGTGAGAAGCCATTTAGGCCTGACCAGCTGACGGTTCTCCCCTTCCTTTGCTAGGCAAAAGCTGCATTGTGTCACGGGAGAGGGAAGAATCTGATGAAGAAGGGCCCAGAAGACCGGAGCAGCACCCGACCCGGGTCAGGCAGGTAAGTGGCCGTGATACGGGTTGAGGGGGTCAGCGTGGGGAGGTGCGTGCGAGGCATTTGCCCCAGGAGGGGCTGGTGCAGAGCAGCTGGAGGCATAATAATAATAATAATAATAATAATAATAATAATAATAATAAATTTTATTTATATCCCGCCCTCCCCAGCTGAAGCCGGGCTCAGGGCAGCTAACAACAATCAAATAATCCAACATTATAAAAACATCTCATTCTAAAAATTAATTAAAATCAAATTGATGGCATGCCATGATTTCCTCTTCCCTTCAGGCCAGAGCTGTAAAGACCCCGGGAGCCGCCCATGCCCCAAGCAGCGAAGAGCGAGAGACGCCTCTCAGGAGTCGGAGGGCAGCCCAGAGGGCTCCTGTGAAAGAGGAGGAGGAAGAGGAGGATGAGGACGACGAAGAGGACGACGACGAGGACGACGAGGAGGAGGAAGAAGAAGCTGCCGCGTTGCCAGCCAAACAGACGCCGAAGGGGCAGGCTGAGCCCGGCGCCCCAGCTCCCCTGGAGAAGGGCGCATGCCAGCCTTCCCTGCCCATTGCCCCACAGGCCCAGCCAAAAGAGGCCACGGCCCAAACCCCGGACGCCCCAGTTTGCGGAGCGGCCGTGCCACTTCTCCCACCCTCAAAGGGCCTAGCAGAGGCTGAACCCGCAGCCCCAGAGTGCGGGGAAGAGCAGCCAGCAACTGTGACGCAGGAGGGGCCCCAGGAGGAAAAGAGGGGCCCTGAGATGCCAGGGCCTCCAGAAGAGGCAGAGCCTGTCGAGGCCGCAGCCCAGCTACCCGAAGCCTTAAAGGCGGAGGTGGCCAAAGAAGCAGGGCCTTGCCCGGAGGAGAGAGGGCCGACTGCCCCCCGCGAGGCACAAGGGGAGCAGGGGGTGGGCCTGCGGGGGTGGGGGGCCCCTGCTGCCCCTCTGCAGCCCCAGCAGGTGGTGGCAGAGGAGATCCAGAGAGAAGAGGATCAGAAGGAAGCAGCCGAGGCCCTGAAGACTCTGGAGGAAGAGACAGCAGCTGCCGCCGCCGCCCTGGTCCAGGACTCCCCTTCCCCTCCGCAGCTGACGGAAGCACAACACACCCAACAGGACGAGGGGGGCGAGGAGCCCCCTCCCCCTCTCTTGACCAAGGAGGCCCCCGGGCCCAGCCCTCCAGAAGACGAAGAGGCCCCCCCTCAGCTCTCTCAGCCATCTCCCCCCGCTCAGGAAGTCCCAGCCGCAGCCGCCAGCCCTGGCCCCCGGAGGAACGGCCCGGCCCCCCGCCATCCCCCCTGCAGCGCCCGCGGGAAAGGCCCGCGGGCTCCAGCTCCTCCCGGTCTTCCTCCTCCGCGTCCAGCTCCTCCAGGTCCCGCTCTCGCGGCAGCTCGCAGCCTCGCTCCCGTGCCAGGAGGCCCCGCTCCGGCTCCTCCGAGTCGCCCGCCAGGAAGCGGCGGGCCTCGGGGTCCCCATCCCGCTCTGGCTCCGAGCGGCACAGCAGCTCCTGCTCCAGGTCTCGCTCCAGGTCGCGGTCCCGGTCGCCTTCCAGCAGCGGCAGCAGCAGAAAGGTGAGTGCCCGGTTTCTTCCTGTGTCACTTGAAGGCGGCGGCAAAAAAGCTGCGCTTCCCACACTGGATTATTGTGTCTGTTCAGGACCACAGATTCAGTCCTGGTTTGATAGTCCCATTGTGCAATTTTTCCAGAGAGTCAGAGGGGTTTCTTGAACACCTGCCGCCCCCCTTCCTCTGCCTAGTACTTTCCCCTTTTCCTGTAGGATTTGTGTCCTACTTTATTACCACTTCAACCTGTTGAGGGCACCTTTCCCAGCAGGAAGGATTTGAATCCAGCTCTCCTCCACCTCAGCCCAGTCTTTTTATCCATGGGGGACCACCAGGGTTTTCATGTGTGGTTCCCCGCCCCCTTCTCGTTGTTGTTTTAATTAGGGAAATGAGAAACAATACATTTGACGGGTGTTTCAAAGCACCTTGTAATCAGCCAGCCCCTTGGTCATCAATGGTGTGTATAAGTGCCCTTTCTCTGTTATGGCGGCTTCCCCTAGGCCAGTGGCCCCAGGTGTGGTTGGACTACAATTCCCATCCTCCCCCCCCCAAGGTCTGCCTTATGGGAGTTGTAGTTCAACAACATCTGGGCACCCCGAGTTGAAGAACGCTGCTCACTTACCAGGCTACAAGCAGCGTTCCCATACTTGAGATTATCTGCTGTCTTCTGCTGCTGCTTAGCAGCCTTTGGGCTTCAAAGAGTAGGTGAAGTTTCGAGAGCAGCAGGGCAGTGTTTTTCTCCCTGGAAACGTGCTCAATTCTGGTCCTTCCCTGACTTCTGGGCAACAAATGTGCTCCGACGGGGTGAAACAGGCCCATGGCTAGCAGCTCAGCATTTGATCTCTGTGTCTAGATGCTGCCCCCTGCTTAAATCACCAGAGCCTTGTTTGAAGCTGCTGTGAGACTGGGCATTCGGGGAGTGTCTGGCTCAAAGCAAGATGCTGCTTAAGAACAAACAGGCATTCCTAGCTCAGGGCAAGCTAATCCATGGGAGATCATGGGCGGAGCTTGGCCAACTAGAAGCTGCCAAGCTTCAGGCACCTAACACTTGCCTCTGGCCAAATTTTTCAGTCCCTGGTGTAAGGCAGAGCTTGCCTTGAAGAACTTAAAAATATGCATTGTAAGTCTTGCATGAAAACGGAATTTGCACCAGGCGTTTGAAACCCAGGGTGTGTGTGGAAGAGGGGTTTCTTTTTCTTCAAAAAGAAAAGCAACAATCCTCAGTGCATTATTTGTTTTCTTGTCCATATTTAAGGATTCATAACTTTAGATGCTGGGCTATTCTGTCCACACAACCATTCTCAGTAGCTGTTAGCTATAAAGCATATTCAAGGGCGCTGAGAGCTATGAGCCTCTTGTGAGCACTGCCGTATTGATAGCCATTTTATTCGGAGCGATAAAAAACTTGCTTTGAAAATCATTTGTGCTAGTAAAAAAAAGTAACCCCACCTTGCTGGCAAGCAGCTTTAAAAATCAAATAAAATACATGTGCCAATGGCAAACATCTTAAGAGGTGTTCCCTCTTTAATGGGATAGCCAGGGCTTTTCTGAAATTATACCGGCTGTGACACATTGGTGAATCATCATCTAAAGGCAAAGAAGGCATGTTCCCCCAAACTATTATTCTTTCTCAGGTTGCGGATTTAATCAATTAATTGACTGGCTCAGTTTACTTTCCTTTAATCCAGTCACAAGCTTCCTTCGTGATTGCGCCTTCCCCAGCTTGTGAGCAGCAGGGGAGGTGGATGTGTCTGTGGATTATTTCTCATTTCAATGCAGCCTTCCTCAGGTGGGCAGGCTGGAGCTGGCCATCTAAAAAAACCAAACCACCTGTTTTTCTGCTTTCAGTCCCGTAGCCCTGAAGCCTCAAGGGACGGTAGCAGCTACCCCCACACCAAAGAGACCTCCCCGACAGGGGAGAGCCCCCCACGCCACAGCCCCCAGACCCAGCAAGATGGGTCATCAAGCCCAAGGGAAAAGCGAAGAAACACCCTTCCCCTGCCTTCGGAGCCCCAGAGACACCCCAGCCATGGCCAGGAGCAGGAACAGCAGGAAGAGGAGGAGGAGATGGAGATGACAGTTCCAGAGCGAGTACGGAATGGGGGAGAGGAGGGGTTGCAGGGCGGGGTGTGCATCGTTTTTGGAGGGGGAGGCACATACAGGGCGGGGGAGGTCTTGAGACCCTCACCGTGTGGCCTCTTCCTGCTAAACTAAGCCTTTCCCCACAGGGCAGCCCAGAGCCCCCCACTCCAATGGAGGCCAGTGGCCTTGACACCGGGGTCCCTGCCTCGGAGCCGCACCGCCCGTCCGAACAGCGGCACAGCGAAAAGTAAGTATCCGAGGCTGAGCGACCCGGGCAGTGGAGGGCGGAGGCTGAGCAGGCCCCACATGCACCGCTGGGGAATGGGGCGCGTAGAGAAGGGAGCCTCCAGGGGCGGCAGCGGGTCCAGGAGTTCAGGTTTGGCTTGAGGCCATGACGCAGCAATGCCACACAACGCAACATGTGACACAGGGCTTTGTTTGGCCCACCTTTGAGCCCCAGAACACGTGGGTGGTGAGAGGCATGCGCAGAGCGGGCTGTGGGAGGGTTCCTGGGGGAAGAGGTGATTTCATAGAATCATAGAGTTGGCCATCTGGCTCAACCCCCAGCAATGCAGGAATTTCCAGATGAATTTACTTGTTTAGAAATTCAGGACTGATACACTACATATTTCTAGCTGAACTTGGTTATTTCCCTAGCAGTACTTGTTAAGTTCAGCATGATCAGGGGGTCTCTGTCTAAACCAGCCCCTGTGCGCTCCTAGGGGACATATACCTTGCTCAGTGCTGTCAGAGGGGAGCCTCTCAGTCCTGCACGAAACGCCATCAGGGAATTAACCTGGGACCTTCTAAAGACCGCTCAGTTCTTCTCTGCCCTTCCTCATGCACCTCACTTCTGCACAACAAAGATACTTGATTTCTGGTAGAGAGATTATGCTATTACAGGTTTTATGATGATTCAAAAGTTTTGATTTTGTTAAAGTGGTCTGTATGGTCCAAGGCTGAGGGGTGGATGGAAACAGCTGGCATGCCTTGTTAGTGTCCAGGTGTCATGGCTTCTGGATCTTGGTGGTGCAGATCAACCATGGTCAGGTAGATGCTTCTGGTATCAGCAGAGCTGCTCCACATCACCCACTTCAGTTGGGCTAGGCCGGTAGTGTACACATGTACAGCATTTAAGCAGTTCCCATTATGTGCTAGGTGCTGTGCTATATCTAAAGGCTCTCCAACCTCCAAAAAAGCAGCTGCAGTCTCTGCAGCAACATGCGCCAATGAAATCTTACTTCTGCTTGGGACTGGACCCGTCCACTGGGCCAAACTGATGGTGATGGAGTTGCTTTTCAAGGGATGGCGAGGAGGAGAACCTCCTTTGACTGATATTGCACCATTGGGGTGGTGCCAGTTAATGTCTCACTGGAACAAACACAGGAAACGAATTAACTTGGGGTGGGGGGGAACAATGCAACTGGTTTGTAGGGCTCAGGTGTTCCAAAAGCCAGTGCTGCCGCCCAGTTTTGTTACCTGATAGTGGCCAGGATGGGGAGCCGGGGAGTCCCCCTGATGTTACTGGACTAGGTCACAGTAAGGAGAGCTGGCTGGACCAGGTCATTGGCTCATCTCTTCACCACCCTGTTCTTACAGTGGCCAACCAGATACCCCTAAGAAGCCCAGGAACCTCCCATCATTGTCCCTGAATAGTGGCCGTTGCTGACAGGGCACAATTCCCTGTTCCTGCTGTAGTGGGCAGCTCACGACCCACTGCTGTGCTGCAGACAGGGCAGTGGAAGCTGTTCCTGTTGAACTCGTGCCTGTTGACGCCGCTGTCAAAGGCACAGACTCTCTCCCAGGAGGTGGCCCTAGATGCCAAGGACCCAGACCTGGCCGGGCTGCATCCTTGACAGCCAAGAAATGTGGAAGGCTTTGCCCATTCCCCAAATGTTGCCATTCCTCCCTTCGTCAAGAGAGCAGCCCGCATCCCAAAAAAGTCTCTGCAGACTGGTGGTGTTCCCCCCTTTCTTTTCTGGGGGAAGTGGGGCGTTGTGCAGGGATTGGGGGAAGAACCTGCGATGCCGAGGCCAAAGCGTGGGTCGGGCGTGTGTGCTTTGCTGCTTGCGCTCCCCTGCAGCCTCCCATCGCCTCTCCTCCGGTCTCCTCCGGCGCCCACCCCCCACCCATGCCCTTTCCTCCTCCGCTATTTCTCCATCTCCTCCTCCTCCTCCTCCTCCCTCCTCCCCAAACCCTCCCGGGGGCTGCTGGGAAAGACGGCGGCGGCAAGATGGCTCCGCCGCCTGTCCGCGGCCCCGGTGCGCTCCTGACGCTGCTTGCGCCGCTCCTGCCGCCGCCCCCGCCCGGCCCCGCGTCGCTGCGGCGCCTGCTGGACTAGAGGCGGAGCGGAGGAAGCGCCGGCCGGGCCATGCTGCTCTCCGAGAGCAAGGGAGGGTGAGACGGGGCGCCCGGCCTGGCGCAGCGCGGCCGCTGCCTCCATCCATCCATCCTTCCCATCCACCCATTCATTCATTCATTCATTCATTCGCCCGTCCCCTCCTCTGGCCGGCCGCTCCTCGCAGTCCCGCCCGGACTCCGCACCCTGCTGCCGCGTCCTTCCCGGCCGGGTCGCCCCGCTCTCCCTTTCCCTTCCTCGCCTCCTTCCCCCGCCCCGCGCGCCTTGCTCTCCCTGCGCCATTCCCATCTCGCTCGCCTCCCCTTCCCTCCCCGCGCCCAGATCTGTCCCCATCTCCTTCCCGAGCCCTCTCCTCTCTCCCTTCGCCGGCCGCATCCTGCTCCAAGCTCGCTCCCCCCACCCCACCCCGCGCGCAAATCCCCTTTTCTCCCCTCCATTCATTCTCCCCCCATTCATTCACTCGCCTCCTGCCCCTCCCCCTCTTCCTTTCTCTGCCTCGCTGCTCCCTTCCCCCTCTCCTCCTCCTCCTCCGGGCCCCTCTGCCATCCATTTTCTCTTCCATTCCCTTCTTGGCTTCAGCCCCCCTCCTTCCCTCCGTCCCTCTGCTTTGTCATGCCCCCACCCTTTCCCCAATTCTTCCCTTTATTTGACAGGGTCACTCTCCTCCTCCAGCAATCCCTTCTTCTCCCCTTTCTGAAGGGGCCTCATTTTGCTGCATCTCTCTCTCCATCTCTCTCTCTCCTCTCATTTTCTCCTTTCCCTGGACTCTGCCTCTACTCCCTTCCAGCTGGTCTCATCAACACCTCCCCACCACTCCCTTTGCTGTTTCTGCAAATATTTCTCCTGCCCGCCCTCCCCTTTCATCCGTTTCTTTCCTCCTCCTGTTTGCCTCCCAACTGCACACTGGCTCTTTCCCTCCATCCCCTTCAAATTGCACGTGTCTTTCTTCCCCAGACTTCCTATTTCCCATCTCCTTTCCCTCTCTTGTCTGTCCGTCTCTCCCTGGTCCATTCTCCCCCCTCCCCTTCCTCCCCACAGGCCTCAGTGGGGCAGGCGGTTCCCTGCTCTCTTATTAAGGACAGGCCTCTGAGGAACCATGGGGATGTGGTGATACTTTGGGGGAGGCTTTGCATGAGAGCAGTTTGGGGGAGGGAGAGATTTGGTTGTGGGATTCTGTGGCCTAGAAGACAGAAGAAGCAGCCTTTGGTGACATTCTAGGGGTGAAGTGTGTCTATAAGAGCTTTAGAAGGGAGGGCTCATAATTTTGGAAAGTGTTTGTTATTTTAGGCATCTGTGGTTGATCTCTGAAAGGGAAGGGGCTGGGGCTCAGGGACTATCTTCTGACCCCTAACACCAGATGTGGGGGGGGGGTGGCTGTGTTTTGTGCATTGGATATCAGGAAGGTACTCCTCATGTGCTCAGGCAGATTCGCAGGTTCTGGGGCTGAGATTAAGCCTGGCAGGGGGGCAGGGGGGGAGGTTCCTTGAAGGCCCAAATGACCTCTAGGAAGGTTACTGAGTGGGGGAGAAGCTAGGCTGGTTGGAGCATATTTGTTCACAAAGGTGTGTTTTTTTTGGGGGGGTGGCCAGGATGGAAGAAATGGGGGCTAGTGGTAGCTAGAGGGAAAGAGACCCCTAAGGAGAAGGTTCCACTTGAGTATTGTGGGAGAAGGTTCCACAGGGCTATATCAAGCAGTATTTTCCTGGGCCTCCGCCTTTTCCCCAAGGTGCTTTCTGTCTCTCAAGAAGAGACGGCCGCGTTCTTTGTACCTGGAAGTCGTCATTCCCCGCCGCCCTCAACCACACCGTAAGTGACTACTTCTCCCTCTCTCTGCACAGTGAGGAGAAGCAAGAGGTGCCCATGGAGCCGTCCGAGCCCCGACCAGAGAGCGAGGCCCCCGAGCCTGGCCCTGAAGAACACCCCTCCGCGGAGCCCCCCGGACCCGACCCGGGCCCCGAAGACGAGGAGAAGAAAGAGGTAGTGTGTTGGGGCTCCGCTCGGCAGACGGGCAAGGGACCCCCGGGTGCAGTGGGGCAGGCAGTCCTGAGGCCCTGCGGAAAGATGCCTGGGGGGACTTTTGCGGGGAGACATGCTTTAGAGAGGTCAGCCGTGTACCCAGCTACTGCCGCAGGGTTAGTGGGAAAGGGTTAGTGGGGCTCAGACTTCCTGCAATAAGGGCTGGGTGTTTGCTCAGTTCTCAGTTCCACCCCTTAACCTTGGTGGGCAGGTGCTTCTAATTTAATCCCCTCCCCAATCCAGAGCCTCCTCTCATCCCTTGTGTCCTGAAGTGCCAGGGTGCTGGGACTTCTAGGAACACTATTAGCTTTTTGGGTTTAAATTATTATTATTTAAATCAACCGAGAAGCACATTTCTAGCTTGGATGCTTATGTAATAAGAGTTGCATGAAGGTCTCTGAGGAAGGTGTCCAGCGCTTTGGGGGAAGGGAGAGGTGTCTCCAGCGCTCTGCAGAACTCCTTGACCTCCCTGTGCACAGCTAGGAAAACCAGAATAAATTTTGTAAAAGTGGTGTGGAATAAATTATGTAAAACAAGAGGAAATTATGCAAAGATGCCCGGTTTGCATAATTTAGATGGGACTCAAGATTTCCGCTTTCCTTGCTGCAGAATTTGGGTTTTCCGGGGGCAAAGAGTTCTGAATCCTGAGCACGGTGCACCACACTTCACCCTGCCTTAAATGTGGTGTAAATGTTTAATGCAAAATACCGTCTGCATGGATTTACTAGATAGTGACACACACATACCTCTTTCTCCCCATAAACTGGGCCTCCTTCTGTCAGCTAGCAGCCAAACTTGGATTTTGGGAGGGTTAACTATTGATGTGTTTGCTGAATGTCATGTTATCGAAAGGTTCGTTTTGCCCACGTTCCTCCCTGCCCTGCATTTCCCAAATTTGACTCTTCCCACCCCTGAGCCAGGGCATGAACCTGGCTTCTTCCATCTCCTCTGTTCCAAAGCGGGGTGGGGGGGTGGGGTGCCGGGGTGAGGCAGGGCTGTTTTGAGGACACACCCACGCACACGCACGTAACGCGAGCACACACATGCGAGACTGCTTTCTGTGCTGCTGAGAAGAGGGGAGGGTGGGGACAGGCCTTGCTTCCCCCTCACCCTAAAGAGAGTTTCCCCCCACAACCCCGTTGACATTCTCCTCTGGACTCGTTTGTTCTGATCCCCGTTTTAAAGAGGCTCCAATCCACCGGGAGTGCGAAAGAGAGAGTGAGAGAGAGAGAACCGGAGAGAGAGAGCACAGACGTACTTGAGCAGGCCGCACAGACAGGTACCCGTGGAGGTGGATGAGAGATTTGGAGGGGCCGCAACATACTAGGCCTCTCCTGGGACCGTTTCCGCCACCGCTCTCCACTTTGTGGAAAGCCCTCTGGCTCCGTAACCACAGAGCTTCTCGTCTGGGAGCCCCACATGCGCTGTGGCTCTTCCTGATTCCGTGGGCCTCTTCTCCTGTCCGTCAGAGCGCCATCTTGTCCTTGGGACCCGTTCTGCCTTCGGCTGATATATAGTCAATCTCCAAAATCTTAAAGAGCGCTGCTGTTGGAATCCTGCCTGGTCGACACTCTCAGCAAAAAGGTTCCAGGAATGTCAGGACTTTGCTGGGCACTCAGTCTCATGTTGCCCTCCTGGTGCTGTTCGGTGTCTTTTGCCGCCCGTTGGAAATGTCTACACCTCCTTCCACCGCTCAAGGTGCTTCTGCTTCGTATGAGGTTGCCTTTAAGGACTCCGTTTATTCTGCGGTAGAATTGTCTGCCTCTGAAAACCAGGCGTTCTTTTGAAGTCTTCACTGCCGACGAAATGGTTATCCTGAGTTTCAGGGGCCTCCCCTCGAGAGAGCTTCCTTCATCACCTCGGGAGCAAAAGTCCGCTTTCAGAGACTCCCAGCAAGTTCTCCGTCACGCTTGGCCATCTGCGGGAAGGCCCAGGCCCGATGATACTCAGCTCCTGAGAAGCTGCAGCAGTCCGGCAGCTCCTCTGTTGAATCTGGGACTCAGCATCTTGAGAGGCTTTCCCCGAAATTTGAAGGTGGCCTCCCCTTCCAATCCCGCTGGTGTGCAGAGCTAACCAGTTTCCACAGCTCTTGTTGCTCGGCACGGGTTTTTCCTCGCGCAAGGCCGCGTTTTCTCCGCCATGCCTCAAGGACTTCCACCTCCACAGAGTTCTCTGGAGTTGCCAAGAGTCGCCTAAGAGGACTTGGTTTACGTAGGGTTCTCTGGAGGTCTTCCCCGTCAAGGACTTGGCATTTGCTGCCGTCGAGTCACCCTGCTGCCTGCCACATGGGCGCCTCTTCCGGAAAAGGACTGTCGATGTCAGCCGTCCTCTTTCCGCACGTTGTTTGGACGGTTGCCCCGTCATGAAGTCCATCCTCCGTTACGCTTGCTGACGCTTTCCGCCCGGTGCCGCAGAGCCCCTCGCCCGTCACGGGACTCTTGCTGCCATGCACCGCCGGTGGTGCTCAGCTCTCCATTGGCCCAGTCTCTGCCTGCCAAGAACTGATGCCTTAAACCTCCCCCCTCCGCACCTTGCCAGTGGGGGAGGCGCTTCTGTCTCGCCCTCTCTCCTCTGGGACACTTGGCTCCGACCACCTACCAATCAAGCGCTAGGTTCCTACCTACCACCAACCAACCACCACCTCTCTTGTCACCCAACCCAACCAAGCACGCACCTTTCAGGCCAGGGAGGGCTCGTTCCGATTGGACCAGCCGTTGCCTAGATACAGCGCACACACTGAGGTGCGATTGGCTGAACAGAAGACCCTGCCCCAGGTGTGAGAGGGTACCTGGAGCACTTGTCCTAATTTCATTGATTTTATTGTTTCGTTTAATTTTTTTGTTTAATTAATTTTTAAAGGAAAAAAAAGTATCACTTGCAACTTTCCCCCGGGGTAGGCGGGTGGGTCATGTTTCAGTTTAAATGGAGGGTTCCCTCCCCTGCATTTATTTATTTTTTTAATGATGAGGGAGCAGGGGATCTCTGGGAAACTGAGGCTAGTTCCTGCATCAACTTGGTTTGGTCCAGCCCCCATCCTTGCTCAGACTGTGGGGTACGCTATCAACAGGGTGGTACTTGACTCCCAACCACCTGCTCCCTCCATTTCCTTGGGAACCTGCTGCTTGAGGAATAAAGTGGACGTAGAAAGGGGATGCTAGCAAGCTGGCAGTTTCTGCTCACCTGGGATGAGGAGCTTGAGGGTCTTCCGGTGTCGCTGGACTACAACTCCCATCAGCCCTGGCTGTTGGCCATGGGATGGCTGAGGCTGATGGGAGCTCGAATCTCTCGACATCTGGAAGCTCCCAGGTTCCCCTATTGCTGCTTCTACACCAGCCTCTCGGGAACAGCATTTAATGATATTCCTTAATTGGCATCAGCGCCTCCTTTATCCCTGCTGAAGCCCAGTTAATTAATATGGGGCTAAAGCCACGTGGGAGCTTCCACAAAGGTTCCCTGTGGCTTGGTCCCAGGTCACCCCCATGAGATGTGAAGCTCTCCTCTCATGGAGGGCGCACGAATGATGCGGTTCCTGCCTGTGCCAGTGGCTGTGGTTAAGTGGGAGGGCCAGTCCTGGCCTTGCTGTCGCCTGGGCGCTCGGCTGCTGAGCTGCAGGGAAACTGAGGGAGGCATTTTGGTGGCTTCCAGACTCCCTTGCATACAATTCAGGCCCGAGAGGGGAGCAGAATTGTGAGAGAGAATGAGAACCCTCCCCTTCCCAGCTCAGTGCTGTTGACCAGAGACAGGAAGGCCATTTCCCCACCCCAACCCCTAGAAACCCAGCGGTGGACCTTTGGAAAGGCCTCTTCTTTAACAAAGAGAATCAGTGTGAGAAACAATGCAGAATCATAAGAGTTGGAAGGGACCCCCAGGGGCCATCTAGTCCAGCCCCCTGCAATGCAGGAATCCCAACTAAAGTGTTGAGACATAGTTACATGTTCTTGGCCGATGGTCAGTCTCTGAATAATTGCCTGTTGCATCTGAGAACCTAAATACACGTTGGGCCCAACAACCTTGGTGTCACTGCTGTTCCTGAGCCAAATGGACTCCATGAGGACTAGGAGCATTGCAGGTACTGTGGTGGCTAAAATTCATTGCTGACACCTGGAACGTCCTTTGTTCAAAAGCAGCAGCAGTGGAAGCCTCTCTTATCCTGGACTTAACTTGGGCTTCCCATTTCGCCTTGCAGAAATAATGCCCATTGAAGTTGATCCTTTTTAGGATCTGCTTCTGCATATATTCCCTGCGTTGCCCATTAATGTGGCACAACTGGCTTAAGAAAAGGAGAGAAGAGCCATCCATTTCTCTGCAAGGCGGTGATCAGCTAATCACAAGCCTGCCTTAAATTCTCACTGTAGCCTAGAAAAGAGTTAACAGCCCTTTGGGTTGTAGTATTCTGCGGGTGTGAAAATTTGGCAAGGTCTCAAGTACAGGAGGCCCTTCATTAGGCAGGATGGAAAGCTGAAGAGTTTTGTGTTAACTTGTGAGCTTGCACATTTTCTCACCAGAAGGGGCATGGTTTAAAAGCAAAATAATAAAGGTTGCCAAGCCTTGTTCAGTAACTGTCGTGTATTGATGCAAAAGCAGCTTCCCCTGTATGAACCATTCAAAATTAAAGTAATTAGAATAATATCCCATCCAGATTTGTCCTAAGAGTTAGGGATTCTTTGTACCTGTGTTCTAGTACAGTGGTCCCTCGGTCTAAGAACAGTCCTGTTAACGAACTCTGCGGACAACGACCTCTGCAAAACCGGAAGCAAGTGTTCCGGTTAGCACACTTTGCCACGGAAGCCGAACACAGCGGTGGGAGCCCTCATTAGGGAAAGTGTGCACCTCCGTTCAAGAAAGCTTTGGTGTAAGAACGGACCTCTGGAATGGATTAAGTACGTAACCCGAGGTACCACTGTAATAGAATCCTTAGCCCATGGATTAGAGTGTATGCTGTCTCATTGCTACAGTTATTTAGTACTATCTACCTGTTTTTCAATTAAAACTTACATAATGTCAGAACAAAATCATATAGATAGCCAGGTAGCCAACCCACTACATTAAAACAACAAAAAAGCAGCAGTAAAATAACGCCAATCTTACACTTCTAAGATATTGAAATAGCAGACCAGACCAAATTTATAAAAGTCATATTGCATCTTCAGAACAAAGCTAGAAAGCTGAAGTTCTGGTGCTGTCACCAAGGAGTCCTGTCTGTCGTACCCACCCATCGAGACTAACTTACATTAGCTGAGCTTCCGGCATTGCAGGGGGTTGGACTAGATGACCCTTAGGGTTCCTTCTGTGATTCTAGGTAGGACAGAGAACGGGGCCTCCAGTGTCAATTGTGAGAGTCTGAGTAGGCTCATGTAGGAGCGTTGTGTTGGTCCTCTTGTGCTCGTGAGGACTCAAAACCTGTTGAGTCCAAATAACACGTTTTGAGTCCAAATAAACTTCTGAGAGCTGTTCTGAGAGGCAAAAGAGCTCCTGGTTCGTAATCTGCATCCCTTTGGCAGGGACAGGATGTTTCCCACGGAGAGGCTGCGCTTGCCATACAGCCACCAAGGGGGGCAGAGTGAGGTGTAGGGGTTCTTCCGTCTCGACTTTATTCCTGAATCAGCAGAGGGCCCCCTTGCCCAGCTCCCCAGCTCCTCATCTGGGCCCCTGTTTCATTACTTACGCCCTCGTCTCTCCCCCCCCCCCCAGGTGTGGCGGCCACTTTCCAAACCCCTGACGCTGACCTGACTACCCCCTCTATGCGGGGCTTTTTCTCTCTCTCTTTCTCTCTCCTTCCCCTTCCTCCCTTCTCTCTCTCTCTCTTTCCATTCCCCCCTTCCCTTTTCCTCTGCAGGGTTCAACTCAGCCCAAGGCCTTCAAGAGGAAGATATCTGTTGTCTGTAAGTAAAGGAGCCCTGGTCCAGCGGCCACACGGGGCATCCAGACATGTTGGAGAAGGGTGGGCGTTATCCTGGGATCTCCCCCTGCCGCCACTCCAGTGCAGTTCTGAGGGGAAGGGAAACCAGCAGCAATGAGCAGCCTTTGCTGCCTTTTCTGGGGTCAGAGTGGATGGGTTTAGCCAGGAGAAAATCTGGAGAGGCGTAATTCGGGCACAGCAGGTCGGCCTTTACCCAGGTTCTTGGTCTTAGTGAGGCCAGAGGGGATTTTCCCATGCTCTTTAGGAAGAAACGTGTCGGCGTGTCTTTCTCCCCCCCGGCCTATTTTTCTCCCACTTTCAAAAGAGAAAACCCAAGCTTCTAGCCCTCATGGTAGATGGCCACAAATTGGGCTGAGTATGAGCGGTTCTTGGGGAAGTCTGCCTCCCTTGGAACTCAGGAAAGCAGATCTCTTTCTCTTTTTGGTGCAATATTAAGGATCGGTTGGCTGGTCACTCTTGTTAAAGTCATTTTTACAGGGCTTGAAACATTTACAAAGCTCCTTATCCTTCCCCTCCCCCGTCATCACTGCGTGGCTTAAGCCGGACTTTGGAATGAAGGGAGGGGAGCTGGCCATATCTTCCCTAACGCCGAGCATGTGCAGAGTGCATTCCTGCCCAAGCCACCTGGATTTACAGAAGCATTTGAGACTACGCATTAGCCCTTGTCTTGAGAGATGAACCTGAGGGTGGCAGGGGAGGGAGGTACCCTCTCTGCCTCCGAGGTACCATTTCACTGAAAAACAGGGCAGGCTGCGTCCCTGTGAGGGGAGGGGTCTTAGCGTTGGGTCTGCCCTCTTGATTTCAGCGTCATCGGTGGCCAAGGGCACAGCGGCAGCGACAAACAGTGACACAGAGGGAAGCCAGCCGGGAGGCCGGAAGCGGCGCTGGGGGGCCAGCACAGCCGCCACGCAGAAGAAACCTTCCATCAGCATCACCACAGAGTCCCTCAAGGTACCCTGGGCTCACGGCTGTTCATTTTAGGCTCGGCGCAGCTCCTTTAATCCTGGCCTGACGCACCCCTCTCCCTTGGTTCTCCCCCCCCCAACAGAGCCTGATCCCTGAGATCAAGCCCCCGACGGGAGGGCAGGAGGCAGTGGTGGACCTGCACGCCGACGACTCGCGCATCTCCGAAGATGAGGCCGAGCGGCACCCGGAGGAGCCCCCCCACGAGAAAGCCCTCAAGATCTGCCGCACCGTCACGCAGGTTTGTCCATCACCGGTGGGCTCCAGGTGGACGTTTTGGCCCAGAAGCAGCTGTAGGAATGTGGGCCAGAGCGTCTTCTGGGTGGAACTGCAAAGGAAACCTCAGGGCCTCCCCCTCCAGGCCACTATAGGCCAGGCAACCTCCACATTGTCTTGCCTGCTGAAGGTGGCAGCTGAGCTGCCTGCCTAAGTTAGCACAAGGGGTAGAACAATGTCCCCTTGAAAATGCATACAGTGGTACCTCAGGTTACATACGCTTCAGGTTACAGACTCCGCTAACCCAGAAATATTACCTCCGGTTAAGAACTTTGCTTCAGGATGAGAACAGAAATCGTGCCGCAGCAGCAGCGGGAAGCCCCATTAGCTAAAGTGGTACCTCAAGTTAAGAACAGTTACAGGTTAAGAACGGACCTCCAGAACGAATTAAGTTCTTAACCCAAGGTACCACTGTATTTTTAAGACAACTGGGTTTTTCTTCTTTCTTCCATTCATTCTTTTTTGTGCTACACATCAGTGCTTTTTAAAATGCTGTAATTCATATTTTTCATAGTATAAGCAAGTAAGCACTACCCGGGAAAAGCTAAACCAAAGAGAGGGTATACAGAGATAACCAACAGAGTCTCTCTTTCGAGAGATCCATTTCCGTCAGTTGAGAACGAGCCGTGAGGTGTAGCCAGCCTTGGAGTCTCCTCTGAGGTGTTTACATATGAGAGGAAGCTGAGCCAAGTCGCTCTCTAGGCCCATTGCCCTCGCTAAGCCCGTCCACATGTTTTTCTGGCAACCCCATTGGGCACATTGCAGGCGCCGCTGCTGCCTCTGGTGGAAGCCCTCTCTTGTCTCTCGCTCCTGAAAAAGACAACTTGTTTTTTCTCTCTCCCCCAGGTGGTGCCGGCTGAAGGCCAAGAGAACGGCCAGGGAGAGGAGGAGGAAGAGGAGGAGAAGGCGCACGAGGAAGAGCCGCCCGAGGCCCCTCCCGCCGTCGCCGTAGAGGCAGTCGTGCTGCCACCACCCGTGGAGCACGAAGTGAAGAAAGGTGCGGGGCGAGGGACAAGGGGAGGCTGCGGGGGTGGAATGGCAAGCGGGGGCCGGAAAGTTGAGTTCCTGCTTCTTGAGCCCCAACTTCCCTTCGTCCCGCCCCTTAGTTACGCTGAGCGACACTCTGACGCGGCGCTCCATCAGCCAGCAGCGCTCCGGCGTCTCCATCACCATCGACGACCCTGTCCGCACAGCCCAGGTCCCCTCTCCGCCCCGCGGCAAGGTCAGCAGCATCGTCCACATCTGCAACCTGGTGAGTATGTGACCGGGGTGGGGAGGGGAGGGCGGCCCTCCAGCAGCCACTGATAAGAAGCCAGCTGGACCGGGGCAGCACCTGCCTTAACACCCCGGTGGCGTCCTTTTGCGCAGGTGAGACCCTTCACTCTCGGGCAGCTGAAGGAGCTGCTGGGCCGGACAGGCACCCTCGTGGAGGAAGCCTTCTGGATCGACAAGATCAAGTCCCACTGCTACGTCACGGTGAGTTTTCCGCCCTTTCTCTCCCAGCTCGGAGGAGCAAATCCTTGTTTTGAATGCGAGTGCCCTGCAACGGATTGGCGGGTGCCCGGAAACGTTTGCGACAGAGCCAAGGGCCACATTCCCTTCTGGGGAGCCTTCCGGGGCAAAGGTGTGCAGGGCAACCAAGGTCATCTTTGTCCTTTATACAGTGGGCTTAGGGACGCGGGTGGCGCTGTGGGTTAAACCACACAGCCTAGGGCTTGCTGTTCAGAAGATCGGCAGTTGGAATCCCGGTTGCTCGGTCCCTGCTCCTGCCAATCTAGCAGTTTGAAAGCACATCAAAGTACAAGTAGATAAATAGGTACTGCTCTGGCGGGAAGGTAAACGGCGTTTCCGTGCACTGCTCTGGTGCGCCAGAAGCGGCTTAGTCATGCTGGCCACATGACCCAGAAGCTGTATGCCGGCTCCCTCGGCCAGTAAAGCGAGATGAGCGCCGCAACCCCAGAGTCGGTAATGACTGAACCTAATGGTCAGGGGTCCCTTTACCTTACAGTGGGCTTGCCTCTCCACGCACTTGCAGGCCCCTCTCTTGTCTTCCATCCAGGCAAGTAGGAGGCATTTGTGACACATTCCAGCCAGGCAAAGCACTCTTGGAGGGGCCAAGCGAGGCCAGCCGTGGCGAATGGCTAGGGGAGAGTTCTGAGGGCCAGGCAGAGATATATTTTGGAGGGCCGCATTTAGACCCCAAGCCTGCAGTTCCCCACTCCTGCATCTAGAGGTTCTGCCCCCCGAACTGTTTTCAACCAAGTTTAGTTCCTTGCCATTTTGAATGTCTTTAATTGTTAATTTTTCTCACTGATAACTTCATCAAGCAAGCAAGCAGTGTATAAATTTTGTACACTGATTAAGCCAGGATTAGAGAACCTTTTCCCATCAGGGAAATCCTGTTCACTCTTTCTCCAGGAAAGGGTAGTAGCAGCCTTGAAGGTGAAAGACTTGCTTTTTGGAGAACTGAAACATAAATTTGAGAGAGAGCCATATGCAAGACTGGAGTGTGATGCAAAAGCCACCTGCGAACCTCATCGACCGAACATTTTATTGGACTTGTGCTCACTTAGTGACAATCCCCTGCTCTAAAGCATGAAAGGAAACCATACGTGGCCTTTTTTTAAAAAAAAAAAATCTTCCTACCTTTTCAACTCCCTTTTTCTTTTCAGTATTCAACAGTGGAAGAAGCGGTAGCAACTCGCAACGCCCTCCATGGTGTCAAGTGGCCACAATCAAATCCCAAATTTTTATCAGCAGACTTTGCAGAGCAAGATGAGGTATGAACTGTGAGAGATAAGGCAGAATAGAGGGTGGGATTTGCTGCTCTCCGTCCCCTCGATGTCTCAGGAGAGGCTGCATGCAGTAAACTGGGAAGATGGGGAGAAGGAGCCTCATTTTTTAAAAAAATTCTTTCAGTTTACCTCCCCTTCTGAGAGGTACAGTGCTGGGCCAGGGCACTTGGGGCCGTCCAGATAAGAGCGTTGCTGGATCAGGCCAGCGGCTTTCGATTCAGCAACCTGGTCTTGCTTTGGCCGACCAGATGCCCTCTGGGAAGCCCAGGAGCAGGACCTGAGCACAGCAGCGCTCTCCGCCTCCTGTGGCTTCCAGCAACTGGTATTCACAAGCGTTGCTACCTCCAACTGCGGGGGGCAGAGCAGAGCCATCACGGCAAGTAGCCACTGATAGCCTTTTCCTCCATGAATGTGATCCCTTCTCTTTTGAAGCCCATCCAAGTTGGTGCCCATCACTGTCTCCTGGGGATGCGAGCGCCACAGCTCAGTTCAGGAATAAGTACTTTCTTCCGAACCCTTCAACTTCATTGGAAGCCCATGACTTCTAGTGTTATGAGAGAAAGGGGAAAACTTCTCTATCCTCTTTCTCTACGCCACACATCATTTTATCATCATCTATCCTATTGCTTCGTCCTCACCTTTTCTTTAAACCCCTAAATGCTGTGAACTTTCTTCATCCCCTCGATTGTTTTGCTTGCCCTTCTCCGAATCTTTTCCAATTTTGCAAGCAAGGCGGGCGGATGTCTGGCTGCGTTGCCCAGTGGTCAGGAGTGTTTGGACTTGTGGTCCAGCAGGGTCTGGAGAGGCGAAAGGCTCCTAAAAGTAGAACGCAGGAGGAGTGTAGCATCTGAAGAGGCTGGGGCTTCTCGTGGAGAGAAAACTGAACCAAAACAGAACTCCTAAAAAACCTGGTGGAGAATTCAGACTGGACGAAACAGAAATGAATGTCTTGCTTCAAGACATTTTCCTGTGAAACTCATTGATGTTGAAGGTTGTGGTGGCGGCCAGTGGGGGTTTTAGAGGATGGGGCCAATGTATGGAGCTTTAAGTCTGCCCAGGGATAATAGGCCTGTTGACGTGGAGTGGAAATTGAGGGTGAAGGCCTGCAATTTGCTAGGCGGACATTGCCTGGCCCGGTGGGCGCATTTCTCAGAGCAAGACTGCTCTGTAGGGGCAGTTTATCTTTCTATTTCCATTTGTATCTTGCCTTTTGGCTCACAAGGAGCCTCCATGGCCCATCTGAAGTGCCTGGTTGCTGGATCTGCCCATAGGCCCATATAGTCCATTGTCCTGTTGTCAAGGGGGCCAACCAGCTGCCCCAATGGGAACCTAAGTGCAACAGCCCTTCCGTTTACATTCCCCAGTATAATGCTTCTGACAGTGGGTGAATATCCTCTGCTGCTGGCCTTACCCTCCCTCCACAAATTTGTCTCCATTCTCTCTGAAAGCCACCCAGATCTGTGGCCATCCCATGGATCAAATTCCTGTGCACTGACTAAAGAAGTCCTTTCTCTGGCCTGTCTCGAATTTTCTGACACAAAATTGCTAGGTGAAATGCAATGGAATAAGTTGGGAAAAGCTTCTTGAATGGCCGGAGGGCTGGGCGTTTTAAGGAAAGCCGCCATGTGTGTCTGATCTTCCTCCTCCTCCTTCTCCCCAGCTGGATTTCCACCGGGGCCTGCTGGCCGAGCGTCCCGCAGAAGCCAAGGCGGACGAGGCTCTCGCTCTCCCCGGGGTGGGCCTGGGCATGCGGGGGAGCGCGAGATGTCGCGGCGCTCGGAGGCACGAGAGCGGGAGGCGGTGGTCCGGGAGCAGTGGGCCGAGAGGGAGAGAGAGATGGAGCGCCGGGAGAGGACGAGGGCCGAGCGGGAGTGGGACCGGGACAAGGTGCGCGAGGGGCCCCGCTCTCGGTCCCGATCCCGGGAGAGACGCCGCAAGGAGCGCCCCAAGTCTAAGGAGAAGAAAGCCGAGAAGAAGGGTGAGCTATATGGGCCCACAGTGTGTGTGTGTGTGTGTGTGTGAAAATTCTTCCTTCCTTGATGGATCCAGGGCTGTGTGGGAAGGTGCAGGCAGAACGCAGCCCCTTCCTTCCAACTCCACGATGCTGTGATTCAGCCTTCCCTCTGGCATTATCAGGCTGACACATGAGTGTGACCGTTAGTGCCGTTTGAATTTTTGAAATCTCCGCCTCGCCTTTCGGCAGTCGCCATTTTGAGTGGCTGAGAGCATCTGGTTGGGCCTGAGGTCTTTAGGAAGCCGAGGGAAGAAGGCCTGGGAAGCCTCCCTTCAGAGACCGCTCTGGTGTGCAGAGTATTTGATCAATAACAACAACTGTAAGAATAAAAGTGTGAAGCTGCATTCGCCCCTCTGAGGTCTCTGCTTCCTCCTCTCTCTCTGCCAACAGAAAAGGCCCAGGAAGAGCCCCCCGCTAAACTGCTGGACGACCTTTTCCGCAAAACCAAGGCAGCCCCCTGCATTTACTGGCTTCCTTTGACAGACACCCAGGTAAGAGACACTTGTCCTTCACGAACGCCCCGGAAAGACAGTAATATCATTTGGTGCTGTCTGGACTGGCAGGGAGATGGGCTGGCTTCCCCTGTCGGGTTATCCTTGTTTATTATTAAGGGTGAACAAGCCAAGGAATCCAGAACATCCGTCAAAATCTGCCCTCGCACTCAGATCCTTTGGGGCACTGGGTCAAATGGACAGCGGGAGGCTGCATACATTTCCACCTTCTCTGTTTCCCTGAGGACTAGAAACCTATTTCTAAAGGGGAAGAGATTCCCGGGACACAGGCCAAGCAGATGTTTTATGCATCCTTTGTTTTTTTGCCCAACTTCTGCGAGCTGTCGTAAAGAGCCATGCGGCCTTCTCTGAAGGAAAGCTTGGCGATAAACCACATTATTAAATGGGTTCTGCCCGGGTACACGGGGGTTCTGCCCTCCTGGTCCGTGGGGCTATTTTCAACCTCCCTTTTCTCGCCCGTTGTCTTCCCCTTAGTACGTTCAGAAGCAGGCCGAGCGGGCGGCCAGGGCCCGGGAGCGAGAGCGCCGGCGCAAGGAGCAGGAGGCGGAGGAAGCCCGCCAGCGGGAGCGCAGCCGCCAAGCCGAGCGGGAGAAGAGGCGGGAGCACAGCCGGGAGCGCGAACGGGAGCGCCCCAACGCCACAGGAGGCGGGGCCAGCAGGGGGGGCGAGCGGAGTGGCCGGGACCGCGAGCGGCGCGAGGCAAAGGCCCGCCATAGTCGGAGCCGGAGTCGCAGCACGCCTGCACAGGACAGGGGGGGGCGCCGCTGACCTATTCCAACTTCTTTACTTTGACCTTCTGCGGGGAGGGAGGGGGAGCGGTGGCGGCACTTCCTTCCCCCGCCCCCTACCCCAAATCTAGCCCTGGTTTTTTGGGAGAGGACTGGGACAGCCAGGGATTGGGCTCCCCCTTTTCCAGCAGCTCTTGCGAGGAGGGAGGGGCGTGCTCGGCGGATGTCATGGCTGCGGCAGGCAGGAGGGGCCTTCCTCCTCGGAAAGTGGGGCAGTTTTTATCCCCAGCCCTCCCGCTCCCCTCTTCTCCCGGGGCCAGTTCCCTCCCCGTTCATTTGTATTTTATTTTGGGGAAATTTTTTTTTTTATTATTCTGATGAATACAGGAAAAGAGAACATAATAAAGAGATGGCGTTAGTTTTATACCCTCTGTGCATCTTTCTTGTCGGGTTGGGGAGTCGAGTTCCAGAACCTGCTCGGAGCAGGGTGCTTCTTAGCTGCCGACACACCTGTGCAAAACACACACACACACCTTGCTAGCAGCACACCAACAGAGCTTGGCGATTCCAGCCTCTTGTGCTAAAATCGGAAAGGGCAATTTCAGAAACGGGGGTCAAACATCTTTTCCCCCCTCCTGGGACTACACTGCTCCCTCCTGGGGCCACATGTCTTTCGCCTGCGCAGCCGTTAGGCAGCAGATGGTGGCTGAGAACAGAAGGCAGAGGCGCCACCACTCCTCCCAGTACCCAGATGGGCTTCACTGGTGCCTTTGAACTGTCAAGAAGCCTTGCTGGTCTCCGAACAGCTTGGGCAAGGCCCAAGAAGTGACCACAAGCAGTCAGGGGACACCTGGATCCACCCAAAAAGAAACCCGAAGATGAGAACCCAAGTTCTTTGCTAACTTGGATTGATTTTGGAAGTGCCTCACAAAAAGGGGAAGCAAGTTCCCCCTAAGCTTACACAATGCATGCAAATACAATAAAACTGCACATTTCATGTTGCGTTAACCAGCTGCCCGTGGTCCACATCTTGGATGTTTGGGTACATAAAGCTCCAACGAGAGAGACCTTAGTAGAGTGCAAAAATGGGAGGCAAAAGTAAATGGCTAGAACTCCCATATGTAGCATGGGTAGGGACTACAGGGGGCATCTAGCCTGACCCCATTTTGGCTGGCCGTCTTTTTGCTCCTCTCTTGGAATTGAATTTAAAAACAAGTTCCAGATATGGGATGATACGTGTTGCGAAAGATAAACTATCCCCAAAGCCTTACATTATGAAAAGTAGTTTTGCAGTGGTTCCCTTCTGCCTCATGGAGAACTTTGCTAGATATTTGCATTTTTTACCTCTCTGAAGAATTGCACAGTCCTGGACGTCTCTGCTCCTCATTTTTTCTCAAATCAACACTGAGGCAAGTTAGACTTGAAAGAGACTAATCCAAAATTTATCTCATGAGCTTCATAAGCCCGAGTTGGGTATCTGAAGCTCCTCCACACTGTTTTGGACTAGATTACCCACAACTACAGTTCTATGAATTTGTGGGGCAGGAGTCGGCAAGATTTACCTCGCCTGAGCCGGTTCACTCCAGCAGAGATCTCTTCATGGGCTGGATTGCACGTGCGCCCGTAATTTCCGGTGTCTGCATCTGCGCAGACGCAATTTCCAGCACCGTGGAAGTGAGTCCCTGTGCCGCGCTGCGCCAGTTTAGTGCAGCGGGCGGGTACTCGCTGAGTGGGTGGCTCAGTTCGGGGGCGGCTCAGGGGCTGGTTTAACTACCCCCGTGGGCTGCTTGTGGCCCATGGGCGTTAGGTTGCCTACCCCTGGTCTGGGATATAAAGGCCTAAAAAGCATTTGTTAGGCATGCAATTCCCTTCCTGGCTGATAGGTGGCACCAGTGTTCCACAGCTAATTACTTAGATGGGGGAAAAGGAGAATGCAAGAACCCTCTGAAAATGAGCTGCGCTTCCGGCAGTACAAAAACCAGAGGTGAGTTTCTATGCCTGGAAGAAACACTGTGAAGTTTTAAAAGGCTTTCTGCAGCAGTTCCTTTCGTTTAGCCGCCCCTCTGCCTTTTTCATCCCTACTTGAACCAGAATTGTAGAATTGCAAGGGGTCCCCGAGGGTCATCTAGGGTCATGCAATGCAGGAACCTCGGCTACATCATACGTGGCAGAATAGAATTTTCCCTGTCACATTTTGGTGCACCTCCAGGGATGCTGCGGAAGATGCTCCCAGAATGCGGCAAAAGGGCCATACATCCCATAGCAGTAGGACATCTGCTCTGAGTGCAGAATGCCTCTGGTTACAGTCCCTGATGGCATCTTCGGGTAGGGCTGGGAATGTCTTATCTAAAATCCTGAAGAGCCTGTCCATCGCTCTAAGGTCCCTGGGTGGGTTGGAACAATCAAAACACAATATTGCAGACAGTTTAAAACTTAACAATCACAGACACCGGATCCTAAAAATGTACACCTCAAGGGTGCAAATGACTATAGAATAGAGATGCATCTTCACAGCGTCCTGTGGGGAGGGGGTACCACAGCTTAGGGGCTGCTGCCGAGAATAGCCTCTCCTGGGATGCCACCTCTGAGCTGGGCATGGCGAACCAACAGGGCCCCCACTGCCCTGTGGGGGTAGGGAAGGAGGTGGTCTTTCGGGTATTGGGGGGGCTTGAATTGGGCCTGGAAATGAATGGGTGGCAAGTGTGCTGGATGAATGGTAGGCTCAAATAATTATAGAGCTGGAAGGGACCCTGAGGGTCATCCAGACCAACCCGCTGCAATGCAGAATAATAATAATAATAATAATAATAATAATAATAATAATAATAATATTTATTATTTGTACCCTGCCCATCTGGCTGGGTTTCCCCAGCAACTCTGGGCGGCTTCCAACAAAAATGAAAGATACACTAAAATGTCACATATTAAAAAGTTCCCTTCAGATGTCTTCTGAATGTCAGGTAGATGTTTATCGCTTTGACAGAAATCTTTTGCCCAACATGGCACTCAAACCCGCGACCCTGAGATTTAAGAGTGGCACAAAGCAGCTTCCTATGTACAAGAACTTAATTCGTTCTGGAGGTCCGTTCTTAACCTGAAACTGTTCTTAACCTGAGGTACCACTTTAGCTAACGGGGCCTCCCGCTGCCGCCGCACCATTTCTGTTCTCATCCTGAGGTAAAGTTCTTAACCCGAGGTACTATTTCTGGGTTAGCAGAGTCTGTAACCTGAAGCGTATGTAACCCGAGGTACCACTGTACCCGGCTGAGCCTATTCTCCCCTCTCTCCCCCATTTCCTCCACCTGTTTGCAGCAGGTGAGTGTGTGCTCCGCTTGTGGCGATGTGCGCCAAAACTCAGCCTTCTTGACAAGGGGGGGGGGGCGGACGGCTTACAGATAGGTGGTGCCCTTTCTACGTGCTTCTCTGCCAGGTGACTAGCAGCAGTTCTGTCTCAGTGGAAAGTTGGGCGCAGTTGAGCGGCTGTGCGTGTGTGTGCCTGTGGGGCGGGCAGGGTGTGTGTGTGTGTGTGGAAACCGGGTGGGTAGAGAGACGAGGGCTTTAGACCTTACAGATGATTAAAGCTTTGCACACATTCCCACACCCACACGGCCTCCGTTCCTGCCTCGTTCTCCATAGCAGATTGCTTGATCCACCAGATTTCCTCTTTCGATCCTCCTAACTCCGGCTCAAGCTTGGGAGGATTACATCACCTAACGGGATTTGGGGGTGGGGGTGGCCGGCAAAGAGAGGCCTAGCTGGAAGAAGGAGCTAATCCCCACCCGGGGACCCTCTGCTGTTTCCCCTAGGTGCCGGTCGCAGTGGGTCCCCTGCAAATTCTCCGTTAAGAGCACACAGGGGGATGCTCAGCCAACTTATGGGCTGCGGAGCAGCTTTGAAGATTTCTGCCGTCCCTCGTGTATGTACGCTACTGCGGTTGCGATAGCCTTTATTTTCTGCCTCTCTGCCAGCCAGCCCCACTGCTGAAGCCCCCAAGACACACAATGAGCGTAAGAGATCGAATTAAAAGCACCAATTTTGTCACAGAAAAGCCCGCCAATACAGAATTTCCCCCATCCTCTGCCAGTGGTGGTCTATGGACTTCTTCTTTGGCGATCACTCGTAGCCGAGTAAGATTGTCTTCCATAAACACGGTTTTAACAGTGAGTCCGCAAGTGGCTGTGGAGGCCAATTCTGGATCCACACGTCCTTCCACAGTGGGGACATTGGTTTCCGGGCAGGAGTTGATCACGGTGTGGATTTGCCAAGCGTGCCTTCCTCTTAGCACATTTCTCCCTTGCGTCCTGAGTTTGAGGTTCTACAAAGCCCATGACACCTTTGGTAAAGGCTGTTCTCCAACTGGAGCGCTCGCAGGCCAGTGTTTCCCAGTTGTCAGTGTTTATACTACATTTTTAAAGATTTGCCTTGAAAGTCCTTAAACCTCTTTTGTTGACCATCAGCATTACTTTCCATTTTTAAGTTCGGAATAGAGTAGCTGCTTTGAAAGACGATAATCAGGCAACCGCACAACATGACCAGTCCGACGAAGTTGATGTTGAAGAATCATTGCTTCAACACTGGTGATCTTTGCTTTTTCCAGGACACTGATACTATTTGGCCTGTCTTCCCAAGTGATGTGTAAAATTTTTCGGAGACACCATTGATGGAATCTTTCGAGGAACTGGAGATGGCGTTTATAAGTGGTCCATGTTTCACAAGCGTATAGTAAGGTTGGTAGTACAATAGCTTTGTAAACAAGCATTTTGGTTTCCCTGCAAATGTCCCGGTCCTCAAACACTCTGCACTTCAAGCGAGAGAAAGCTGCACTCGGAGAGCTCACTTCCTGCTGTTTATCCACAGTAGATTATATTCACAGATATGTTGCACCTGAACATGGAGGTTCTAATGGGATATTGATGTTAACAGGCCACAAACTGACCCCACCTTGTCTTTAAATTCATTGATGCTGGCAGCCACAACCATATATTTCGATAGGGCCAGAAGTGATCATGGTAGTCTCTCCTTGTTATCCATTATATACCCCCTCATTCATTCATTCATTCATTCATTCATTTTATTTCATAGCTTGCCCACAGGCCTGTGTGGATTGCTTGGCCTTCTGCAAAACGCAAGCGCCGAAATTGGTACGAGAAGCAGAATCCAGCCATGGGAACCATAGCTTTTGTTTTACATAAGGTTCTAGTCCTCCTGGTGGCAGAGTTAAACATGAGTTGAGGAGACAAAAAAAATGATGAAAGGAAGGAATGCAGGAGTAGATCTGAGCAAAGGTTTGAGAGTTTTAGGGTGGCAAATTCAGATATTTTTAGCCTGTATTTTCCCCTCTGTCCCAGGAGCCTTGTAACTATAAAAAAAACCTCCATAAAGCAAACTAACGGTATAAAAATACTATTACAAATCAATAAACGTCTTGTTAAAAAACAGCTTATACAACACTTCAGCTCGGGCTGGGCTGCCTATTTCTTTCTGCTTTTGTTTTTCTGCTATTCTCCACACAGCGGAAACTTGTGCTGAGTGGGGCCTGTCCGCTTTCTGAGTCCTCTAAGTCCTTGGGAGGCAACTGCCTCGGTGTGCATCGCGAGGCCACGGGGATTGGATGTGATAGCTGCCCTAGCCAGGGTTGGGGGTCAGGGCTTTGCTATGGGGCAAGCAGAGGCGGAGAGAGACTCCCTCATGATCCTGCCTCAGCGGAGGGGTGTGGGAACGGTTAGGCGTTGAGTGACAGCCGCCGATGGATGTGGGGGGAAGATTCCTCTTTTCCCACGCGATTCCCCCGGGTCCTCTTTCTCCTCGCGGGTCTATTTTTATCTCTCCTCTGCTATCGCCTTTCTCCTTCACCTCTTTCTCTGGTTGTGCTGTTGTGTGTTGCGAGGCGGCTCTCGGCTCAGAGGAAGCCAGGATTGGCTCTGCCCAAAAAATCCCCGTCTTGCATCTCGGTCAGATCTTTGACTCCTGACCCCGATGGCCACTTCCAAGAACCTGCATGTCCACTCTTTCCTTGACCCCTTCCCCAATTGCCAGCCTATGCCAAAGCCTAGATCCCCTGCCCCACCTACGCCCCCCTTTATATGGGAGACTGGTCTAGTCATATTTACCAAAACTGCCCTTTGACCTTTCCTGGCTTCGGCCTAACCTATAGACACTGACCCCCTCTCACCACCTAAACACCCCTGGAAAGACCCACACCCAAAATCCGCCTTTCTATTCTGACCAGTGCAACTCCTCAAACCTGTCCCCAGCCCTCCATATAAGTCACTCACCAGCCCCACACTTCTAGGGGGTGATGGCTTTTAGCCCCAGCCTGGTGTGCTGACAATGGTTTTTAAAAGTCTTCTCCCTTTTTTAAACTTCAGGGCTTTTGCTTAATATATTTAATCTCTCTCTCTCTCTTACACCCACCCTTCCTCTTAGTCCACTTATGCGGAAGTAGAGCTTGATCACAAGACCCCCCCACAAAAAAACCGTGGTGAGGAAGGAACCGAAATGACCCCCATTTTTCCCAGACTGCAAACACTGGCAGGAAATGGGTTGATTCAGCTCTGAACACACACACCCCAAATGGATTTGCCCTCTCCAAATATTTGGGGTTTGCCCCCCTTTCCCCCCATTCCTCAGTCCACACCGCCCCCGTCCAGACACCTCTTCCTCAGCCTTCCTCAACAGCAGAGAGCCCAGTTTCCCCCACCGGGTTAATTACGCTATTTAAATTCCCTCAAATAATCGCAGCCAGTTAATTAAACCTCAATCGATCGTTAAAAGCAGACCAATAATGAATACGCCAGCAGCCTCGCTGGGCCTCCACGAGCGTGACTCGCAGCGCCCCCCAGCCCCCACCCCACTCCCTGCCGTTGTGGCCCCCCCAAAATCACCTGATGCCTTTCAGGCCTGAGCCACGCAGCACCCCAAAGTTCAAGCCCCCCCAGATCCCAAGGACATCCCTCAAGCCCCATCTCTGCACCACAAACCCCAATCCTGACCCACAAATAGCCCAATCTTCCACCTCAACCATCCTGCACACCCTGAGTCTCCCTTCTCCCCCACTTTTGTTGGGGGCCCCCAATTCCCTCATTCCTTCTTCTGAGCTGTGTTGATGGTTGACTTGCAACATTTCCACGCCAATCCCGTTCTCTGATTCCCCCTCTTCTGGATTTGGGCAAAGGGTGGGGCGGTGGCAAGGGACCCCCCTCTTTCGCTCTGCCTGGCAGTCCGCGGGAGCGCAAGCCCCACTATCAATTTTTTAAAATGAGCCCTCATTAGGAATTCACAAAGTTTCCTTCTCGTGAATAATTCAGGGAACGAGAGAATGGGTTGAGGAGGTGGGGGGAGATATGTGGGGTGGGGAGGTTTCTGGGAGCCCCGCTTTCCAAGATCCTGGCTGCCAGAGAGGGTGGGGGTCGGGTGGGGTGTTCACAAGCATCACGGGTGCCCACCCCCTTCCCATCTCCCCGCCATTTTTCCTTGGCTCCCGCTCCCTCCCAAATAGGCCAAATTTCTGCCTCCCTCACCTCTCCCAGTCCCTTAAAATATTCAAGAGCTCATTAAAATGCAATTGCAGCCAAACAATTCATTTCGGGTAGGGTGGGGGGGTTCGCACGCAGCAGGTGGGGTATTCTGGCTGAGGGAAGAGGCTGGGGGCAGAGCTGGGAGGCAGAGCTAAAGACTTGGGTGCAGGTCTCGGGTCCTCTATTCGATTGATCTCCAAAGGGAGAGGTGCTGGGGCTCAAGGCCACCTGGGGAGGGGGGTCTTCCATTTTGCCACGGAAGCCCCCTCTCCGCTTACCTCTCCACATGTTATGTCTGGGGGTTGTTACCTAGTGAGGAAAGCTGAGCACACTCTGCACATGCTCATAGGCACTCTTGTCCTGCTTGTTCCCATTTTCCTGGATGTTGAAAACTGATTCTGGGGCCAAGCCTGGCTCAAGAGAAGCACACGTTGGATGTCTGTGGTGTTAAGTCAGGGGAACATTATATTTGGAGGCCGGCCCCCCAATATGTCAAAAATGGGGTGTGTGTGGCATGGGATTTTGAGCTGGTTTTGAGCAGAGCTGGCCTATAGATGCTGGTTGTGTGGGGCTCAGCAGGCATTGGGGGCAGTTTTAGGGCAGAATTGAAAAATGTCTTGTAAAGAGTGCTGGATTAAGTCCCAAATGATGGGTCTGGACTAAGGTTAGGTTAATTGATGTGGGGATTAGCAGTCTCCATGGGTCAAAAGTAGAGGCGAACCTAGTCCTGTAGAGTGAGATATTGGGTTGGGGGGCAAGGTTGAAGGTTGGATATAAACTATGGACCAGGCACTCTATTTGTGGGGCTCTTTTGGGGGGGGATTCTGAGAGTCAGTTGGGGGGCAGAAGAGTTTAAGAGTGGGGTGGAGGGTAGCAAGAATTGACAAGTATCAGGTAGGGGAATGAAATAAATAATTAGATTTGTGCCGGGACAGGAAAGGAGATTTTTTTGGGGGGGGTGGGAAGAAGAGTGGAAGGATACCAGCAATTCTGAGGAGGGGTCTTCAAGTCAGGACTGAGGATCCCCAATTCTTGTGGAGGGGGGGAAAGAGAGACACCTTTTAGACCAGGAGGGACGCCTCTATTGGGGTGGGGGTTGAAGAGAGTTCAGAAAATTGGGGTGGGGGGATTCCTGGTCGAAGGCTTCTAGGGGTCCAGGACTGGGACATTGGCACGGCTGTCGGGGGTTTCTGTGGGTCAGGGTTTGGGGGCAGACATTGTCGCAGTGCCAGGCAGAGGGGGGTCGCGCTTTTCAGTTGTTGTTTTTTTGGGGGGGGGGCTCTTATCTTTTCCTCTCCATTATTTCTCTCCCTCTGCTCAGACCACCCTGGCGGGAGGGGGGAGTGTGAGTAGTAGCTGAGAAAGACGAGGGAGGGAGGGGGGGGAGGATCAGACGAGCATCTCTGCAGAAGGAGCATCCCTGCATCTCTCTGTCGCTGGTCCTGCTGCGCTCCCGTCTTCTCGCCCTTTGCTTCTCTCTCTCTCTTCTTTCTCTCTTCTCTTCTACCTCCCTCCTCTTTCTCTCTCTCCCTCTCTCTCCCCCCCTTCCTTCTACATCTCTGTCTCCTTCCCTCCTTCCTTAACCCCTTTTCCCGGACTCCCAGCGACTCAGGTAGGTTTCCTTCACTTTTAGGGTGGGGGGAAGGCAGAGGGAGAAGAAGGATAGAGGGGTGGAGCCCCCAGAGGGTACCCACAAGAAGAGGGGGGTGGCAAAATGTGGGGGTGGCGTGGGGGGGACGGAGTGCGGGCGAACCCCACAACCCACCCCACTTCCCTACAAGAGCTCAGTTCCCCCCATCTTATCCATTCTTTCCCCCAACCATGCTATATTATTATTATTAATAATAATATTATTTGGGGAGGGGGCTGTTTCTAGACCTGGCTCCAGGGCATGGGAGGAGCGCGGGAATCACTAATTGATAAAAAGGCAAAATATGTAGAATTCTATTCGGGGTGGGGGGGGCGGTTCCATCCTGCACTTCTCCGTCCCTCCCACTTTCTCATTCCTTCTTTCCAGCCCCAGCTGTGTATGTGTGTGTGTGTTTTCCCCCCTCCTATTCCCGGGGGGAGTCGGGGATCAAAGTTTGATTAGGGACGTGACGGGAGCGAGGAGGGGGGAAAGCGATGGGGAGCCAGCGGCGCCCGCACTCATCCGTCCGCCGGGCTTTTTCGTTCCTTCGTTCCGGAGAGAATTCCGTATTGATTGTGACAAATGTTGTGGCTGGCGGGATTCCCGTCTGGGAGGGGAGGCTGGGACGGCGAGGGACCCCCCCCCTTTCCCCAAACAGACGCGCTCTCGCCTTTCTCTCCCTCCTTCTCTCTCTCTCTCCCCCCCCAACCCCACCCCCCGTTTTCTCTTCCCCTCTTTCTTTCTTTCTGCCTGTCTCATTCCGCGATTCCGAGGCGCCTCATTAGGGATTTCACTCACGCAGCCCTGGGTTGTAAATCTACCCCGGGAGTCTTAAGACTGCAGCGCGGGGGAAAGGATTGCGGGGGGCATTGGGAGGCTGGAAAAAGAGGGGGGACACCTGCTGGCATGACCGAGGGGGGGGAGATGGAGATAAATCAGGACCCCCACCACCTCAGCCTCCCGCCCCACAAGGATTCCCAGGAGAGGGAAGGCTGTGGTGAGGACTGCTGAAACCTGACCCACACCCCCCCACACCCACCCAGATCTAGAGAGACCCCCTACAAGGCATTTTATGACAGCCCCCCCTCCCCAGATTGATTTATACATCAGCATCAGCTCACCCCCTCTTCAAGTGTCGTAGGTACTCCACAAGGGCTATGGGGTGGCTATAGATTTGGGGTGGCTCTGCCCTCAGTCTCCCGTCTCAGCCAATTATCCCCCCCCCAAATAATCCTCTGCATTCCTCAATGCACCTTGGTCCTCGTGACCCACAGCCCACAAAGCTGCCCCCTGATCTTTAAATGAATGCTATTCCTTCCTGGATTACCTGTCGCCATGCTCACTCCCCAAGGCCCTTGACCTCTTCCTCGCACGCCAGGAAGTGTTCTGGCCTCCCTCTTTCGATTATTGCTCCTCAGGTTCAATTTCAGACCCGATTCCCTCTCCCCTCAAAACCGCAAATAAATAAATAAATCCCAGCTTTGGTCCTGACCAGTACTTCAAGGTCTCCATTTCGGACCTAACTCTGGCCCCACTCTACCTACTGAAAGGTTTTTCATTTTTGGGAACACACTGAATCGTAAAACTGGGGTGCCAGGGTCCCTTAGAAGCAGTGGCGTAGCGTGGGTTGTCAGCACCCGGGGCAAGGCAAGTAATTTGCGCCCCCTAACCCGTGGATTTGCGCCCCCTAACCTGTGGATTTGCCCTAACCCCAGATGTTGCGCCCGGTGCGGCCGGCCCCCCCTGCACCCCCCACGCTACGCCACTGCCTAGAAGACCCACCCTGTCCAACTGTACTTCAGAGGCCCAGCCATCCCCCAACATTATCTACACCCAGTGTGACTCTAACCAAATTCGCTTGTGGCTTCTCAAAAAAAAAAAAACCCACCCCAAAACCCACCCAATATCTTTTTGGACTTCTAGTTTCAGGGGGAATCTGCCACACACACACCGCAGGTCCATCATGCCCCCCTCCTCATTATATTTCCCTCCCCACCACTAAGGGCTGCATTACCCCCACCCCCCACCCCGCTTTCTCTTGGAGTCAATTTTCTGACGAGGCGAAATAAGATTTGCTGGGTTTATTCTCCCAGGGTCTGGGAATAACTAATCCTAAAAAATCCGCTTAGATTTGGGCAGGAGGGGGAGGGGGAGGGAGGAAAGAGACAGAGCCTGCCTGGAGGGGGAGAAGGAATAAATGAAGGAAGGGATGGGGTGGAGAGGGCTGGGGAGGAGGGCATCACTTTCAGGAGGAAGCAGCAGGGAATTAAAACAAACACAACCAGCCTTGGTCCCAGTTTAGGGCCTCATTCGGAGCTCCTGATTTATTTTAATGGCATCTAGGAAATCTGGGATACAAGATTTGCACTTACAGAGGCTACTGGAAATTGGCATTTAAACGGCGAAGTAATAAATGAGATACTTCTATATGTCTCTGCCCCCCCCTTTTTGCTTTTTGCATTAAAAAGAAAGAAAGAAATGCAAGAACTTTTAAATCAGTGGGGCATGAATGAACAGGGACCTAGTCTTTTAGGTTCATCTTTCCTTATGTCCTAGAAAAGTTGCCACCTTTATCATACTGCCCTTGCCCCATGTGCCTTTAACGGCAGTCTGATCTGAGGAGAAATTAGGCAGGGTAAAGCTTTTCTCATCTCCTGATCTCCAAGCCACAAAAAAGCTTTTTAGCGGGCTACGTTTCTGAGCAATGGGCTAACGTCAAAAACACAGCATCTGGGGAACAGGGAAGCAGTTGGCAACTCTCTGAAGGACAGGGAGGCAGGGTTAACACTATCTGTGGGTGCGCTGGCTCAAAATCACTTAACGGAGATGAGGGTGTGTATCAGATTGATCAGTCTTTCAATCTGGATTAATTAATCTGGAATAAGTACCACCCCCTGATCCCATAATCACACTCCCTGGTGCCTATTAGAATCCACATTTCCGTGTTGTCTCCTTTTTAAAAACAAAAACAAGCCACCGTCTTAACACTTCCCAGTTCTGTAGTAAGTTAAGTGAAAACAAGAATGTACATTTGATCACAAGAAACATAATAATTGCCTGTTTGCTGCTTTCTGGGCCACCTTCACAAAATTTGCAAGTGACAGATTCCAGGACTAAAAGGTGCTGTCAGCATCCTTGTTAAACAAACAAAAATTTGAATTATTACCTGGTCTTAATGCTTGAGATATTTTGGAGTGCTGGGATCTAGCCTTGGGACGCGGGGAAATAATAAAAAGGCAGCGTGTGCTCTGAGCATTGGCAGAGTGCCTTTCCCCTCAACCGTCATTAGCCACAACCAGCTATTGTACCCACAGAAGTTCAAACCTCCTAGCACATTTGTGCATGCGAGTGCCTTCCTTTAACCCCGCAAAATGGGGATCTGTAGCTCACTGGCAGAGCATTCGCTTTGCATGGAGAAGGTCCAAGGTTTGATCCCTGATGTCTCCAGTTACATAATCGTAATAAATTTAATAATAACAAGATGGTGGATCGTGGCCAGTCAGAGCAGGCTAAACATGATAAAGTGGACAAATAAGCTTCATTCGGTATAAGGCAGCTTCCTCAAATATATTCTCATACGCAAAATCGCTAATATTTATTCTGTATTGACTATTCTGTCATCCCTTTCTTCAATCATTGACACAGAAAACAGCTGCCACTTCATATAAAAGCACATTGAAAATAGGATTTTTTTGGAGGGGTGTATGTGAAGAATACTGTCGTTTGAACCACCCCAGTTGTGCGAACGAAAAGAGGTTTGTGTTGCTAAAGGAATCCCAGACAGCGATTTCCGTGTTTTCTTTCTGTTTGTCCTGGGCTGGGCCAGATCAAAAGTCATCGCCTCAGGCGGCAGAACCGGGACACAATTTGAGGGCTTGTCTTTTTGGGGCAGTTTCCGTCCCAAACGTACCCCCTCAACGGTATAATTTTAGCGGCTCGGCGGCAGGAACTAAGCGCCATTTTGGATCTGCCGGCCTGAATCTTGCCAGGCCTGGGCGGGAGAGAAGCAGCTTAGCTGTTTTGCCTCAGGTGGCAAAATATCTGAGGCTGGCTCTGGACATCGCACACATCTTGGGAAACGTTCCAAAATTTATGAAACGGAAACTTTACAGCGGTCTGCCTCTGCGCCTGTTTGACTGCCCAGATTTGTGGTTGGCCGGTCAGCTTTTGGCTCCCGTGGAGGGAGTTTAGATGTATTTGACTTGACCCACTTGTAAGCTAACGTTTTTTTATTATTTTTTAATGCAGCTTGGGGTTGCTTTCGGACATCTGTCTTAAGATGCCTGTCTGGAGAAATGTAAAAAGTAGGAAACGAAACTCCTGCAACTTCCTAGCATGTTTATTTCATTAGCCACCTTTTTCCGGAGGGAAATGGGTGCTGCTACCACGCACACCCCAGACGCCCTTGAAATGTGTGTTTTGCCAGAGCTAATTCTGACCTGTGGTAGAGACCTGCGAGTGGTCATTACTCTGGGTTTGTTAGCCAGGCTCAGGGAACAAAAAGTGGAATCGGCGTGTCTTTTCACGCGCGACGGCAGAGCCTCTGAGACCCTCTCGAGTTATTTGTGTGATATAATCATAGAATTGCGGAATTGGAAGAAAGGGGCGCGAGGGTCATCTAGTCCAACCCTCTGTGATGCAGGAATCTTTTGCCCGACACGGGATTCGAATCCACAACCCTGAGATTATGAGTCTCATGCTCTGTCGACTGAGCTAGGTGCCTGATAGGCAGGATACGTGCCTGCATGTGTGAATGCAACTAACACAGGGCAAAGGAGTGAAGAGAGCTGGGTCTTTTCATTCAAATTACAGACAACGGGAAATTTGGAAGGGGGTAGGAAAGGAATCAAGACCTACTTTTTGTAAATGGATACCTGAGGCTGGTGCTCAGGCAACTTTGGGGCTGAATCTGTAACACTGAGGGAAAAGCGAAGGGAGGAGATGTCGTTGTTGTGGGACAGGGCAAGTTGCCTCTGGGAAAA